TCTCTGTGGTCATTTGGTCAGCGAAATGGTTTCCACTGCCAAACCTCCAAAACAAACTGCTTATTTTAACCACCTTCATAATTGAATCCTGTATTGTCATAATGGATATATTACAAAGTACTGAACCCTCCTTTATCCTTTGAGTCGGTTGTCGCTGCATGAGTCACTGTTTGATTTCCATCAAAGTAAAAGTCTCTTGTGACATCTTTGTCTTCATGCGGGGGGATTATCAGATTTAAAGTCTCACACACTGAGCTTGCTCTTTCAAATTAGCCTCCTACAACAAACTTTCATTTGTTGTGTACCCTGGTTTTTGTTCCTCTCCTGTTGCTCTCCTTTTATTTCTTTCATTAATAACGTTCTTATCATCGCCTCTGATGGTAGCGGGATAGCTCTTTTTTTTCAGTTTTTGCCCTCATTCATTATTATTTGTTTACTTCTCCCCTGCTGTGCCCCCTGTCTTCTTCTTTGCATTTTGTTCTGAAGACCCATAACTGCGAGACTCCAAGGCCTTATAAGACATAAGCAGGCCGCGTAGCACTCGGCTGCTCACAGAGGTCGGACCCCGGTCTTCGTAGTAGCTGCGTTTCTGATTCTGCAGCACGCCAATTCATGGGGATCCTGACAGGGAGAAAGAATGTGAAAGAAAAACCGATAGAGAATTGATGAGAGGAAGGCTTTGCTACTGCTGCATGATGTTTAATATGCCTGATAGAGGACGCCTCGCCGAGGTCTTACACCCGGGACAAAATGCTGCAGAGCCGAGAAGCTTAGACGGTAAATCCTGCCTCCATCCCATTTTTCATTTTGCCCGTTCTTGCTTCTTTTTCATTTGCATTCACATCTCAGCCTCTCTGCTTTTACGTTGTACTACATGATCACACGTCAATATCCCTCTTTTTTGCCTTCGCTGCACTCTTCACCCTTTCTTCTCTACTTTTGGCGTCTCCGTCTGTGTGTGTGGAGCAATGCACTTGTTGACACCTGGGAGTTACTCTTGTTTTTCCTGTGAATGTATGATTCAGCACTTGGTCTGCAAGTCGCCGTGCATACAGACACACACACACACACACATCTGCATGCCCAGTCAGCACACACACATACACACAGATACACCCTTGCAGGAGGCAGGCAAGTACAGTGTTGGTGGAGGGCAAGCATCTGTGGCTGCGCACACATACTTAAGCCGTAGGGGTTATGTAACTTACTCTGCCATTTCAAATGATCTGAATTCACAAGTGCTTGCTGTCATGCACTAGATTACTGTGTGTCCGGGCCAGCAGTGTAGTCATATATTACATGCTGCTGAGTAACAAAGGAAAGTCCTCACGGACAACATTCAACTTTGTATTACTTTCCTCCAGCTTCCTTAATGGCCTTTCCTTTCGCTGTGGCTTGCCTGGGGAAACACAACCAACACACACTAGCATGAAAAAAGTGTCTCGGGACAGTTTATTTCTCAGGGAGCACTATTGACCTTTTGAGAGGCAACAAATTAGCTGTAAAGCTACAGAATGGGCCACATTTAGAGGGGATGTACTTCTAAGTCTAACTACTCTCAGTAAAAAGCCAAGTGCCTTTTCTTTTGGGTGGCCATGAGTTTTATTGTGATCTAACTCAGCTGAGCTGTAGCAATATGTGGGCCTGCAAAGGATTAGTATTCAGTGTCATGATTAGATACGAAGTTAACCTTAAAGACGTCACATGAGGAACAGAAGCTGCGTTGGAACTCATCTCGTCTATATTTGATATCTGATTTGATATATTTGGTTTTACCCTGGCAGGAAACGTGAGCAATTTTTGTTTTGCTGAGCTAAAGACGGGATTTTTGCCATCATTACGCATCATGCATATTCAACACAACGAGGGATGAAAGAGACAGGCTAATGAGTTTACCTCTGCTCACCAGAGATTATACACAGAGCTTTCCCAACTACAAAAGATCAGACGACCGAACGCTGAGAACAGGACGGGGATAGCCTTCTGTGTTAATTAGTCATTGCCGAAATTATACTGTAGCATGTGCACCTCATTTCATCAATGGAGAGTCCGCAGCAACAGAAACGGCTGAAGTAAGTTGTGTGTGCTGCTGCTGTTGTCGTCCCGGGGGAACTGTCCGTGGTGCTGAACGCGGCTGTGCTCAGGGTTGTCAGCTGAGGCGCTTTCTTTTGAACAACATGTACTGACTTTCATAGCTTGATTTTGCTCAAGTAAAAGTGATGATTAGCATTCCAAGACACATTTGTAGATGAAAAAACAACGTGGGAAAGTCACTTGAAGAAAATAGGGACTTGATGATAGCACTAGATGGGAAAAGTCAGAGGACTTCCAAATGTATTACAATTTAGAAATTGCACAGGATCAGTGAAAAAATGGTTCATGCCTTAGTTTGAAACAACCATAAACACCTGAAACCCCAAAATAGAAACTTTGCAATGATATAAGTAATGTAATGTAATATAAGTCAGTAAAAAGCTCAATATTCTCATTTTTGAAAGCTGCTAACTACAAATATCATCAAACAATCAAACATCATCATTGTGTTTTTCTCAATTGGCTCAAACCCAAATAAAACATATTTTCCGATTGATCCAAAATAATAATTATACATTATCCTCTAGTTATTTTGTCTTTGACCTAAAACTTAAACATGCATCTTGACCTAGTCTGAAAGTTGTCAAGATAGTCATTTTCTCAGTCTTTAAAATCCCTGCTGCTCATACGGTAGTGCATAGGAGACGTGGAGGTGGTACAGATCGCTGTGGATGCACTTCTCCTGTGCATGCATTTGCATTAGTGCCAGTGAGGCAAGAATGGTAGATTCAGCCTATGGGGATGGTTTTACTCATCTGTCTTCATCTGCTGCGCAGTAAACGCCTCTTCACTTATACAGGAGCTCATTACTCACGATGGCAGCCATTTGAATCTTTTGTCAGAGGGATTTTTAATTGAACATTGGCTCCAAATGTGCTCCAAACAAATGTGCTTCAGCAGCAGGGAGAACTATATGTGTGTGTGTGTGTGTGTGTGTGTGTGTGTGTGTGTGTGTGTGTGTGTGTGTGTGTGTGTGTGCACGCGTGTGAGTCCGATATCCATCGTGTGCGTTGCAGCCGTCTGGTGCTGAAGGTTGTACTCAATAGATACCAGCCCACACGGGAGATGGCAAGCTGTCTGCGGAGGCTCTCTGTGATTCATCCAAAGGAAATCATTTGCAGTCAACATGGTGTAGACAGTCTTGCGTTTATGTAGATTTGACTGAATATGTCCAATTGTTTTTGCTCTTTTAATAGTATTAAACATTGCATTATTCTGTGCTCTGTTCATTGTATAGTTAAGAACTGGAAAGTTTTTGTTGTAAGTAATCCAATAGATAATAACTCTCTTAGCTGAAAGACATAACTTTCAGTTGTGCAATATTGTGATGTCACATTCCTGCAAAATAACTTTAATCCTATGGATTTCATGATCAACCCCTACTCGGATCTCCCCATTGGCTACCTTTTAAGCCAAGAAGCCCTTCTCCCAACCCCCTTAATGCCTTCTATATTACTTCCTCTTTTCCTGTGTCACGCAGCACCTCAAACATCAGCGAACTGTCTCCTACTTCTGTAACAGGAGGGAGTCAAACATTTATTACACCAACTGTCTCTTGACTGTGATCAAACAGCAGAAGGTTACAGATCTCAAAAGGCTCAAAGCTTTTGCCTCTTTCTCTGTTCATCTTGCTTGATGAACCTATTGCTCACCTTATTCTAGCACGAAGTAGTGATCCAGCTGGTGTCTTCCATTTGAATTGATTCCTATATAAAGACACATAAATATATATATGCATGTATGTATATTCTAAGTGAAAACAAGCTGAGTGATTCTGTGATAAAGGGCACATTCAATTGTTCCTTACATGGAGCATGCATTGTGTGTCCTGGGATTCTCCGCTGATGCTTATTTCAGTCTTGCTCAGGGACATAGGGTGTGTGTGCGTGTGTGTGTGTGTGTGTGTGTGCGTGTGTGTGTGTGTGTGCCCACTGGTAGCACACGCTGACACAGATAAAATCCTGTTTAATTCTATACGCTAATCTCGGAACATCCGGCTGCACTTTTACTCCCATCCGTAGCAATGCTGCTCCTCGTACACTGACGGAGATCTCGGTCTGCAGATAAATGGAAGATCCTGTTGGTGATGTAACAATTCAGTGCGTTTTGCGCTTTAAGAACAGTGTAACTGTAACTGTCGATGCTTTAAATGAACTGTGGGTTATCTGGTTAAATAGATAACCAGATAACCATCACTACTGAATGCATGCCAGCTTTCCTGAAAGTGTCACCTGATTGATTGGAGTAGAGAGAGAAAAAGCGATGCGGCATCTCCAGAGCAGGGCAAATCACACAGGCAGTTTTCTAGAGGATATCCCATTACTAGCTGCATCCCTCGCGCTTCCTCTGAGAAGCCAGTCGCGGAGAATCCTCTGGAGAACGCTGATAGACTAAACAAGTCATCCTCCGTGGAAACTGTGGCAGACTTTAGTCAGGTTCAGGCTCCGTGAAGAAAGCTTAACTTCTTTTCTTTGTAATTCGGCTGTCAGCTCAGTTAAACAGCAGCTTGATTGAAACATAACAGGCATTCAAACACCTCCCGAGGCCATATTACTTGTCAGCTAAGGCACTGGTTGAACACCAGGCAGTAAATGTACCCACATATTTAAACGCTTCAGTTCCACTTGATGTATTGATATTCATTTACACGGGAGAGCGAACACTCCATACATTTGAGCCTCCGAAATATTTCCATCCTCTTCTCTGTTGTCTGACAACCAAAGCGTTTCGTAATATCCATTTGAATCCGTCTCTGTCGTATGCACTCACACACGCAAAATTGCTGCTGAAAAATGAAGCACTCCCGCTCCCTCGTTCTACGCCTAGTTTCTCTGAGTTATCTGAGGAAGCTTCTGTTCCTGACAAATCATAGCAGCTGTCTTTTGCTTTTCTTATTCCCTCCCCAGGAGACTGAGATCAGCACCAGAAGGAAGGAGTGTGAAGCACTTGAGGCGGAGGTGAAGAAAAAGAATCAAACATGTCAGACTTTGGTAAGTGCTCCCAAAATATACCCTGGCCTCTGAGCAACAGGACAGAGGCTAAATTGATTTGTACCTGAGAGCCTTGCCTGCTCTCATCACACAGATGTCCCCTGAGGAAATGAGTGGCGGTCTACTGTAATGATAGCTCGCTTCTCGGGCAGCGATGACGGAAATTGAAAAGTGGAAGCCGTTAACTGAGAGTTGCAGAATTTGTGGGTTGGCTTTTGTTAGTGTGCGAAATGCATTTTGAATGAGAGGTATGCTTTGCAGCAGTGAATGTCTGCAGCGTGTCTGATCATGCACGGCCACAGAAGAAATACAGTGCACGTTACCATGATGTACTGTATGTAAGGCTAGCGCTGAGTACATCTATGGCTCAGAATACTATACGGGTTTCTTTCTTTTGTATACACATAGTTCATAGAGCTCTGTGCAAGCCTGCTTTCATTTGAGTGCACAGCAGCGTGCGCAGCAGCGTGCATGCTTTTCGAGAGTGGTCGCCACAGTTAAAGGTCAGTGATATGTTACACAAGTCTTGCATTTTTATACAATTTCTGGTGCCTTTTTGAGGGACATTTTCTCACAGTGCCCTAGAAATGTCATCTTGCCTACTGGAGTGGCTTTGACTCAGGACAAAAGGAAAAAAAGATGAGCTGCAAAGAACCTCCTGAAAGGGGAAAAGAAAACATGCTTATTATTTCTCATCCTGATGTTTCAATGTGTTATTTATTTAAAGGCTTGTGCATCAGTCCCATGTGACTCCTCTTGGCTCTTGATTGTTCAGGATATGATAAACCATTATTTAAATCCATCATTATGTAACTGTACGCATCCACATGTTACATTGAACTATAAGAATGTGAACTGACCAACTAGCGAGCTGCAAGGAACCACTTGTTTTGCTTTAGAACAATATTTTGATGAGCAGGTTTGCCGGATTCTTTGTTCTGAGTGTGTTCAAAACAAAGGGCAGGTTTTTTGCAGACGGCTGCAGTTGAGTCAGCACTCCCCCGTAAATGAGAGTAACACACAAATACATGAGGGAAGAAAAGAAAAAGACAGGAGGCTGGTGTTTGTGGTGGAGATGCATCTATTACATCCTTTGCAGAATTGACTCTAAACTGAAGCTAATTGCTGAGGATCAAATGTCTAGTATCCACAGTCATCAGTGACAACATTTTTCTTCTTTTATTTGTTGCTTTGGCTTGTTAAAAACTATTGCTGTGTAACACGATGCTTGTGTTAAGAAAAATGTAGTTTGACTGGAGTGATGCAATTTAGGCAGATAACCATCTGTTTGTGTTCAACTTCTGTTGTTAAGTGTTGTCAGGTGTTTGAAGTTGGATCCAGGCTAAATGCCAATTACACTGTGGCAATTATTACCTTGCTATGTAGTATTTGTTTTGGGGCTGAAACCCACCTTACCCCGAATAAGAAGAGTCATCAGGCTCTATCAGGCTCCCAGCAGGGGGACAGCAGAGTAGTAAATCCCAGCACAGATGAAGCGTGTGGTTTGTCCCCGTCGGAGTTGTTCTACCGGGAGCCCCACTAACTGGAATCACTCATCATTTTGTGTTATGTTATACCAAGATGGAAAGCTTTGCTCAGCTTCTGTTCAAGTTTATTCTGAGCGAGAACGACATCTTACTGCTGCTCTCAAAGTGGAGTCCCAGTGGACTCTGCGGCAACATGTTTAAGTAAGTGAATTTAATTCCAGTTCAGTTCACTAGACTTTTTGGTGTTGTGTAAGTGTAGACATTTGTTGTCCTATACTCTTGGGTTTGGGAGTTGGAAAAACAATTCAGGGAGTTGTATGACTGATATAAAAGCGCCTGTAGGAGTGTCAAAATGTAACACTACAGCTGTTGAAACACATCGGCTGGTCACATCCATCCATTGGTATGACCCGGCTCCTCTTTCCATCCTCTCTGCTCTAAACAACATTCTGTCTCCGCTTTGTGTACCGCTCTGCTCCTGCTACACCTCTCCTCCACATCACTGCCCATTCATCATAAAACTCATCATTTCATCAGCCTCCTCAGCCAGCCGGTCTCAGCAGAATCATCACCAGCCACCACCAACACCAGTGTCTGACCTCCATGGTCCAAATGACCGTCAAATCCGTCAAGACCTTATGATCATACAACATCTGTATGTATGTATATATATATATATATATATATATATATATATATATATATATATATATATGCAGAAGAAGGCACGGACCAATAAATATCCTATGAAAGACAGGAGGTTCAACAGTCATTTTAACTGCACAGCTTGGTCCTAGACTATTTCCCTCAATCCAACAAGCCCCAAAGCCCCGTTCTTTAGATGAGCTGCCTTTGTGTGTGGCTCTTTGCCCCAAATAAACCCTCCATTAGGACAGTTTTCTTTGCTGTCCTTTCCTCAATCTCTGCCCACAGCAGCACTTCCCTCCTTGCCCATTGTCAGCCTGAGTCCAGGGGAAAGTAACCTAAAGGAAAACCTGTCCCCAAATGGTCTGTGTTAATGCAGCACATATAGCTCTTATCTCTGCCCGCACTGAGCTCAGAGAACTCAAACACAGACAAGACCAATGAACACGGCTGTGAGATGGCGAGTTGACAGTAACGTCTCTCCCTGTTTGGTCTCGAGTGGCTTACTGCTTGGCTTTTCTCCCTCTCGGGTCAAAGTAAAGACTGCACATACAGAATTAGGAGCAGCTGTTACCGATGGGAAGATTTTATAGACTGTATTTAACACTGGCGGCACATACACAAATGGATGCCTTCAATTTTTTTTTACAATTCCAGCTGCTTATAGTCTCCTCATAGTGAGTTCAGCTGTGTATGAACACGGAATGAGAGTGAGTGACAGTAAACACAGGAATAACCATCTGGCACCTCCACCTTCCTGGGCATCGAGCATGTCACTAATCATGGGAATATGCCTCTGCTAGCATTTATGGGCTGTTGCCATGGGAACGGGTATTGCTGCGCCAGCAACGTATCGCCGTTAATGGAAGATTAACGTTGAGGCAGACTCAACAAGTCCAAAGTCCGGACTCAAAGGGTGGTGTTCAATGCCTGCAGAGGTCAGCTCAGCTTTCACCATGACAACCATCGGCCAAAGGCAGCTCTTATTGCTGTGACACAATGCATGATTAGCAAATATTATATTTTAGACAGTACATTAAATACTGATATACATTATGTAAATGAGACTGTGTACAAAACGTTTGTGTTTTCTTTCTTAATTTAGACTTTCTTTCTTGGGCATCTAGACATCCACACCCTGTAAGACGCTCTACAGCTACACTACACTGTGCAGCTGGACAAACTGTGCACTGCACACATAATATTCCTTTACTAATGTTGTCAAAGTTACAACAAGCGAGGTTCAAGGACACCTGATCATTTGTACATATCCTCCTACGATAAGATGTTCTGGATAAAGAAAGGCTGAAAAGATTTGTACCCCGGTGACGGCAGTTGCTGACTCTACTGAAGAAGAGCAAATGATAGCGATGACACTGAGTCGACGGAGCAGACAGTAAGCGGCTGAAATGTTTGCTTTGCTCCTGTGTTAAGTGGCCGAGTTGATTCATCCGTCAGGCTTGTCGAAATTAAACGCAGCGCCGCAGGCTGAGTCAGATCATGTCTGGGCGAAACACGCAACTGCCGCTGCAGCGCTCTCAAACACAGGAGTGACCCTTGTTCTCTGCCACAGGCCCGGTGGACAGTGGTGTGTACTAGAAGACTGCTTGTCTCTCATCCATCATGTACTTTTGGTTGCTTTGTCCATTTGTTCATTATTTTATAGTACATGTATCTATCTAGAATCAGACATTTTAAATAGTATATTATAGTAAATAGCATCCATGTTGGTCAATGAGGTCTTATTTTACATCAGTTACACATACTTATTGCTAATATTTCTCTCAAAGGCATTACAAATCACACAGTATATGCTGTGCACATTTTACGGCATGCGTACGCTGGTGTAAAATAAATCTCAAATTGTAAATCGCACGTCAGCAGAAAATCTCAGCTGGATAATGTTGGAGGCAGCTCAATGTGGGCCACAATGTGTTCTGCATGGGATTGTCTCCATCACTGCGCTCACAGACTCTCCACTAAAATGTGTCTTGCCAAGGGATTATGACGTATACTGATCTGTTTAAAGCATTAACACGTCGACAATGCAGCACAAAGAAACAGCTGGTTCTCTGTGTTCAAGGCAATTTGGTTTGCATCACTAAGTGTGTGCTGTCGTATCCAAATTCCCCCCAAAATGGATTTTAAATGAGAACGGCAGACGGCGTTGCCGTGCTTAAATCAACAGCGAGCTTTAATTTCAGAAGTACTTCAGTCCACTGTTCTCTTCGTTGTGCGTACAGTATGATATGAGCTCTCTGTTCTTTTTAATGGTGGTTTGTCCTTCAGAATGAACACCTGCAGGCTTAGCCAGCCCACATTAGCTGCGAATTGAAGGATCAATGGATATGAATAGGAAGGCCCATACAATCCAATACTCGTACAGGAAGCATTCAAATTGACTCGGCACAATTGATGCAGGTTGAAATGGCAAATGATTTTTTTGGGACAAAGAGGAATCTGAGCTGATCTCAGACGTGACTGTAATCTTCAGGCTGTTGTTAACTTCTCACTGCGTGTCCTTGATAGGATTTCTCCTCCCTAGAGTGCATCTTTATATACTGGAGTTGTGTTCACGCAGTGAATGTACAAATATATAGATCTATATATTGATTTATAGTTCTATATATACATGTGTGTAATGTATCTAATAAAACTTACAACGAGTGTGTTTTATTTATGTGCAAAATAAAACTGAAGCAGATACAAGTAATTCAAAATGTGATCTGTGCAAAAGGTGTATTGCTATGACCTGCACATAATTATTAGAAATTGTACGCTTTATTTAGCATCACTACAGCAGCGTCTAGTATTTGCAGCTTTGCATGCCTGCATGCCTTTTTTTTAACCTCCTGTCTGCATTTGTCCTCTGAAACATCCATCATAAGTAAAACATAAGGGGGATGGAACAGGCTCACCCACCACAGCCATTAAGACGCACTGCATTTCCAGTAAATGCATCATGCATGAGCCAGTAAGTTTCTCAGCTCCTGACAAAAACAAAAAAGTCGGTTGCACATCAAATGTAATTCACAAGCCTCGACACGCTAGCATTAGTGCTGTTACGGTTCCACGGTGTTGGCTAAAATGGCAGCTTCTAGAACGTAGAGAACGTGCAGCCGCTTCCTGAGATGAATGATGCGTTAGCTATCGCCAACAGCATTCTGGGTTTTAGCGCTCTGGTAAATCACGGTGACTTTTTCAGCATCTGGACATTGTTTTTCTTTCTGTTTTTTTTTTTTATTAGGAGAATGAGCTTCAAGATTTCCTCCAAGAGAACAATCACTTCAACCTTCAGCTGTTCAACAATAGCCACAAGACATCCGAGTATGAGAAGGTAAGATGCAAAAAGGCTTTAAAGTAGTGTGTCCACATTAACTACTGTTTACATCTCGGTGAGGACAATTGTTAATGATTTTAAGCACATATCAGTCCTGTTAGCGCACCAAACACACAGTTCAAGCCATGTGTGGCTCTAATGATAATGTTGGTTGGTGTATCTGTGTGTTGGTTACACACATGACGCTATTGGACACATTAAAATACATTTTTGCCTGAATATGATTTTCGTATAGTGCCACCATCGAGACAATATTTTTTACAATACTTTGGTGTCTGACCACATACTTGCAAAACTTTGTGTTTGAAGCTGTTTAGCTAAAGTTAAACGGACTAAACACCTTTTTAACGTTGTAAATATATAAGCATTGCCATTTCAGCAGTACCTTTCTTCACAAGCCACCGTTTTCCCCGTGGTCTTTATGTAATTAAACCATATACAGTGAAGTGAAAACAACCAGCCTCCAATTTGATCATCACACCCTCACCTTTCTTTTAGCCCCAACACCTCATTCAGAACGACGGGACGCAGTTAAAGTAGACCAACAGGCAAAGAGCACCGGGGCTCTCTGTGTGGACAGGAAGGCAATTTCCTGAAGGAGTTGATTGGCAGGTAGTTGCTGCCGGGGTGAAGAAGGCCGAGATGCTGCGTTATTGACGTCTCACCAGGATTTTTGCGCCGCTGTACCGAACTTTAATCGCACTGGAGGGTATGAGAGCAGCAGTCGGCAGGCCGGTGCGGATATTAACCCTCGCTTACACCCCCTTGTTTTGATCCCTATCGTCACTAAATGAGCCAGGAGGGGCTACAATCGCCACTTCCCCTCCGGCCATAATAGACTATTGACCTGCTTCGGCTGAATCCAATATGGCTTTGTTCGATCTGTTTACATTAGGGGTGACAGTCGCCGCTCTCCAAGCGGACAGTCTCTGCTGCGGAGGGGAAGGCGGCTTCAGAGGCAGATTCACCGGCTTCAGTTTGTGTTTTGCTTTGCTGGTGTTTGTGGAAACGCCCTCCTCAAGGAATCATTAGTCGTTGATGGCTGCTCTGATGAAGGGGTTTAGCCACAGTCTGCAGGAACTAGTCATCTTGCTGGCGATGAGGGGCCTTTAAAAAGGTGATTGGAAAATGTTTCCCCTTAAGTAACACAATGCAAGTGGTCCGCGGACAAGAGATTCTGAAGAAAATATAGAAATAGTCCCATTTTGAGTTACATGATATTCACAATGGACCGAATGAGTGCAGACCGCATCGATGATGAATCGGGGTCCAGAGTTAATATAATGTGCAACTGCTTAAGTCAATTGAAGGCTCAGCGCTTGGTTAACAGTTAAGCTTGAATTATTCATATAGTTTTGGTCTACAGCCACGGGAATCAGTGATTTATGTTACTCTTCTCTATTATAATATTTATCACTGAAACCAGCCAGCTCCCACATCTGGTCCGTAACAGTTTTAACTGCTAGCAAAGCTTTAAGGGACATTAAGTCATTTTTACAGTATAGGAATCAACCGTGACGGCCAGGAAAGTAGCAACAGCTGGAGAAGTAAATTCAATTGGAAGCCATCGGTCTGCTATTATGAAGTCTATTATGTTTTTGTTGAAATTGTATGAAAAAGGCCTTGATTCAACTGCAGGTACCTCGGAGGCTTTGTGGTGTGGTTCAATAGGACCATGCTGATGTTGTTCCAGACATTTTTTCCACCCCACATAAAGGAAACCCGTGGCAAAAGGCTAATTGAGTGATTTGCTAATGTTGCCCCTGGTTAATGCAGCTGTAGAAAGATAGTTGGTTGAACGGCAATACAACCAACTCTGATGAGGTGATGACTGTAACACACTGTGCTCTATCTTTAGTTCTTTAGTGTGAATCACTAAGGAACTAATCTATACAGCAAATGTATCATGTTGCTATCCTGGCTAATGCCTACCACAACCCAGTAGGGATTAAGCTGTTAGTCTACAATGATGCATTCTCTGTTTCTCTTTTTATTAAGAAAAAAAATAAATGGATTTCCATCTTTTGTCTTTGCATACACATTCTTATCACTAACAAAGGGCGAACTCTATATCTGACAAATAAAAGGCCCTCATATGCAATGATTACATGAAGTCCTGAACATCAAATCCTTTTAGGTCAGTGTGAAAACCAAATACCCAAAGACAATGAGCTGTAGCACAGCTGCACTCTCAAACTCCGTCTCTTTGCTCCTTGCTTGTTCTGTCTGCACAGGTGAAGTCTGAGTATGCCCAGCTCAAAGAGACCCTTGGTGCTGTGACGCAGGAGAGAGATTTAGCCCTGTGGGAGAGGAACAAGCTCCAAGGCAAACTGGAGAACCTAGAGCAGGTGCTCAAGGTGAGGAAGCCGGCTCCAAGGGCAGACTTGTCTCTCAGCACCGTGTGCATTTTCCAGTCCTAGTAGTCCGTCTTTCCCCGGGGTCCCTAACTCAGGTGTTTTTCATGGAGCCTATAGCCCCATGCCGGTACCCCTTCTCCTACCTGTGCTACGCTGCCTCCACCTGGTTCTAACGCCCCTGACATGTCTGTTGCCTTCCAGTGTCGTGTGGGGAAGTCTGACCGGGGGAGCTGTGACAGAGTAGAAGCTCGGAGCAGTCTGCCTCCCCTTTCCCTTCCCGTTCCACCCTTTTCACGATGTCCCACCCCGACCTGGCCCGTCCCTTCCCACCTTCCCCATCCCTCCTCCCCCTGCTAGATTTTTTCAGGTATCACCGCTACGCCCATCTGTTTAGGGAGCAATCGTGGTCAATCCCATTCTGAATGCTTTCCGTCCACCTCAGTGGCTGTGCTCATCTCTCCCTTTTACCCGCGGTCTGCTTATGCGAATGGTCACCAGCTACACGACCACAGCAACTGTGGAATGTGATTTTTTTGTTGTTGCATGAGGCAGGTCAAAGAGTTTGGCTTTGCAATGACGCGAATGGGGAGGAAGACGAAAACAGAGGGACTGCGTCGCCCCTCACCATGATAATGTCACCCACAAGCTTGATGACATTACCTGTCGTAGACCTTAGCCTTGACCGGCATGAAAGTGTAATTTGCTTCTTTCACCTGACAGCATCCACCTACAGGGGGAGTAGTGATATGACTGTATGACACAGGCATTGTGCTATGAAGAGCCTAGCATTCAGTCTCTTGTAATGTACGGCTTCTTTTGTTGTTATGGATGACCCCCGGCACGCGAGCACGCTACGGAGTTTGCTCACCCTTTTCATAACGTAACGTAACACCTGTATTGATGCTGCAAAGACAACATTACCGAGGACAGCTTTTCAAACAGTAGCAGTAACCAGACTTGTGACAGGTATTGTGTTACCTAAAGAGGGCAGCAAACCTCACTGTGGAGTGATGTCAGTGGGGGGGGGTGTTGTTCACAGAGCACAGCCTCTCTAGTCCTCGTCCATTAGCACCGTATGTGCAAAACTGCATCTGATCCCTCCTGCAGATCATTTGACATGAACCGCTCTCACATGGCATTCGCTGCGGCGTCGTTTATGTCGGTCTTGTTTTTAAGAGAGTTTTTAAAGGTCAGTACACTGTTAACCAGCCTCTATTGGACTGTGATACGTGTGTGTTCCTGTGCGTGTGTGTGCGTGTTCCCATGTGACACCGGTGTTGTCTGTGTGCAGTCAAAGACTGGAGATGCATTTTGTGCCTCTGTGCCGATGGATTTTTAGTTCCACTAACAGGCAACCCTCTCTGTGCTTCCCCCTCACCCCCACCTCCCCTCACACAACCCTCCCTCCCGGCTCTCCACCCCTGCACCTCCTGCTGACAGCATATGCGAGAGGCTGCGGAGCGGAGGCAGCAGCTAGAGTTGGAGCATGAGCAGGCCTTGGCTGTACTCAATGCAAAGCAGCAGGAGATTGAAGTTCTTCAGAAGGTAAGGGAGCTCAGGCGGCACTCATAGCACGACAACTTACTGTGCTTCCTTGTTGGCTCAGCTTGGGCCCGTGCCACCAGTCAAAAAGCTTTTTGTTCCAACAAAGTGGGGAAAGTCAACTCAAGGACTAAAGAGGCTCAACATCTCCATCGCCGGCACTTACTAAAGCTCTCCCAGTGCGTCCTTTTCAACCGCGTCCTTCAGCTGTCCATCTCTCCTCAAAACCCGAAGTGCTCGACATTTCAGGAGCACTCCTCTGGTTCGGCGCAAGCACGCAAATCAAACATCCAAAAGCCGGAGTAGATTTGACACTTTATAGAGGCTTGCCTAAACAAAAAAAACCCCGGCCTGGCCCATTTGATAGTCGGGCCTCTTAGTGTGCACTGGAGCTGGCTGTAATGTCCGAGTGAGCACAGCGATGGCTGTGATGGCTGATACTTCAGTGTGAACGTGATGGGATTTGTCACCGAGGCCGTCTCTGGAAGCAGTGTTGGTGTTGCTGCAGTGTTGCTCTAACGTCGCAGCAAGCCTTTCACAGGCCCAGTTCTCAGCTTGTTTCTCTCATTAACGGAAGCTCATTACCGCCTTATCTGCCTTCAAACACTTGCTGCTGCTCTTGCATTCTCCTCCATTAATTGCCTGCAAAGTAGATTTATGAAATTGCAAAGTTCACAGATGCTCTTCATGTGGAACACAGATGTTTCTATTTCCCATGAGAAAAATGGCACGTACATTTCTTCACAGTTTAATGCTTTGATAATACACAAACCACATCGTTCTTGATTGCACAAGCCTCTTTCATTTATCTTCGAAGGAACATCATTTAATTAAAATGTGTAGAATTTCACAAAGCCTCAGTCAAAGCCATTTTTTCTTGGATGTAGATTAAATGACCATTCAAACATACACTCTGGCAACACGTTCATCATTTTAATGACATATATTGGAGGTAATCATCACATAAATAAACAATAGCAAAGGACGCGTCTGCATTTGAATATATTGTAGCAACAAATGAGCAGGGTTTCAGTTTGAGGATGAGATGAATGGAATAACATTTTCAGGACAGCTATAAACGAGCAGTTGCATTGTGCACCTTTAAAACAAGTGTAGCACTCTGTAAGGAGTCCTGTGGCTCATGGGGACAAGTCCTCTTGTCTCTTTCTGGACACCATGTGGGCTCTTTGGCTGGCCACTCCCTGGCCTGGTCAGTTTATGCTAAGCTAACCTAAAATGTAGCTGGGAGACAAACAAGTACGAAAGTGGTATCATTCAGCTAGGGTTGCTGGATAAGGATCCTTAGTGGAAGATAAATTATTTGTATGATTTTTATTTTGGCAAAAACTAGAATAGGGGAAAATACATATTTATTCATTTTTTGGGCCAGATGATAATTCTAAATGACTGGATCTGGGACCCGAGCTGGTAGTTTGACCTCTGGTTTAGATGCTCACAGGCAAGTGGTCTTCACAGGTAAGTGCAGTGAACAGAATTACAGATGCAAATTACATTTACTTCCCTGCACGCACACGGTTATTCACTGTTGACGTTACATAACTCACTGTTTTGACAGTTAGATAACATTTTTGGAACAACATTAAAAAATAGAAGGTGAAAAGGGTGCAAGAAAAGCCACGATATATAATTAGCTGGTTGTAGTAGAGTAAGTGTTACCTAAGTCCAGGTTGTTTTAAAAGAAATGAAGTGCAGTTTGGTATGGAGTCATCTTTCAGCGTATTCTGTCAAAGTGTTGACCGGTAAGGTGGCTTTCTTTTCATCCATTTTCACCCAAAACACCAATGACTGAAAAGGCGTTTGCATTTTGGCGTTTTAGACTGGAGCGTGACTGCAATGCAAATGAAATACAAATGAAAGTGAACTGAAACCCTGCACCCTGTATTTCCCAGGCTCAGGTTGAGGCAAAAAAGGAACATGAAGGCGCTGTCCATCTGTTAGAGGTGAGCGTCTGGACTCTGGGGGGGTTGACTGTGTGTTTTTATGTGGTTACTGCTGGAAGATGAGGGACGATTCAGCCCCGGGGCAGACCTGTGTATACCTAAAGACATTTGCTTCTCTTCTCGAACCGAAACTGAACTTTTGTGCTTTTTATAGTTTTCATGTTTAAAAATATGAATCCTTGGTTAAATAAATCCATTTGTTAAATGTTGTTAAATTGACATGTGAGATACACATTTAAACTAGAGAAAGTTGTGTACACAGCATTTTTTCAGCGAGCTGAATAGTAGACAGACTGCCATTATCTGTTATCTATTTATTATTTCATCTTTCTTTTAGCGTTGCAACAAGGTGATGATGCGTGTGCGCAGTGTCAAAGCTGACAGTGATTTCAAGATGTGTACGAGTGATCACACCGTGTAATTGTGTTTTATTTCTTTCCTACATCTGTTTTTACTGAATGGGTGTGTGTTTATGCTTATACAGAACCACTTGGACAGCATGCAGGTATTTCACAATTGTTTTTTATTTATTTACTTAGTTTTTTGACACCTTTCCCAGACTAGTCAATAGTTGACCCATATTTACTTTGGTCCAGGACGTACGGTGATGAAACACCACATTTCCAACAAAATTATTCATCATGATCTGAGTTTTGTATTAACAATGAACATGATAAAATATATAAATGGTAATGAAGAAGTGGAAGGTAACATAAAGCATACATCAGTTCAGAACTAATCTGATGTGTGCTCTTTGCTTTTTGGTTTTCAGAAATATTCAGGGCTGCTTCTTTTCTTGGTCTTTACTTCCCTCTCAGCTCTCTTTCACATTTCCCATCAAAGCAAACTCACAAGTGGAGAGCTTTTTGAAAGTCTGGAACTTGACTGACAGCATAAACTGGAGGTCTTTCTAACTTGATCATAAAGAAAAATTCAGCGACACTTGCTAAACAATTGATGAAAAGATTCAGAAAATGGATCCACTTCAATTAAAGAGGGATGCCTGGGGCCTCTCTGACCGACCTCAATCCCACATAATCAAAGCCCATCAACACGTTGAGGTGTGCAAATTTAACTTTATAAGACCAGAACGCGTGTTAAAAATGTGTGTGTCAATATTAACAAAAAAATATCAGGCTACACTAAAAAAAAATGGTGAAAATCAATTATGTTGCTACATTTTATTCCAAAGGGTCTGGAAGTATTTGTGTAATGCAGATATTTCAGAATGAAAGCTTGTTAGTTTTATGTATCTAGAGTTGTAGCGTTGCATGTCTGTTTCTCAGCATGTGCTCTATTTGCCACACAGCTGAGAAGTGTATGAAGCCATTAAAACGAATGGCTCTTAATTTACTAATTCTATTTCACTGCAAGACTTCCTTCGTTGTCTGTGTGCTAACCGCATGTCACGTATATCCAGCAACAATCTGTGTGCATGAAATGGACTCCTCGTCCTAGTAGAGCGGAGTGATGCTGCAGTGTGCAGGCAGGCGCAGCCGTGCGTTGGGCAGTGCTAAGATAAATTCCCCCGGTAGCTTCAGTGTCGTCCAGAGCATCGGCAATCTCAGCTTGTTTCCACTTTGAGATTGAATCTTGATGATCAATCTTTCAACATCATGCTCTAGCACCTGGAATTTCAATTATTCCTGCCCAAACGACCACGCTCAGTTTGTCACCGTTTGTGCAATTAGGTTTCCTGCTCTTAAAGTATACGGCTGATGCGATTTGATATATTTGTTGTATTTGTCAACAAATCCCATTAAATGACCATGACCAACAATATGCACTCACTGACCCCCTTTACCTCTACCTGAGTCCGACTACATACAGTCAACATGTTTATCTTAAAAAACAAACTGTATTGTAACAAACATATTATGATACGTGAAAAAATCCTCGTTATTACCCAAAATTGGGGGTGCTGTGGCTTTTCGTGAATAATAATAAACACAAACAGAACTATTTTACAGCAGCAGGACGACATTCAGTTTGTGGGATTGATTTTAAGTATATAATATTTACAGCTCTGTTTTCATTAGTATATAACGACCTAAAACTAGGAATCAGTGTGCTTACGAAGAGTTGTTTAAATCTACACGTTTCTACGGTGGCCCTTAGTGAACAAAGCAAACACCGGCTCTGCTGAGAACCTTTTGTGTTTAGAAGTTGTTATAGCACATCAATGTTGGTCCTGGTCTTTATATGGGTTTACGTGACAGTTAAACAAATTAAACAGCCTCATCCTGTGAGACCCTGCGTGTGCAAACTGTCTTGAAGCAAGACAGTTTTATTTTCAGTAGTATTAGCATTAGCTGTAGTTGATGTGCATGTGATCTGTATAGTGTTAATGGTGGTTCAAGTTATGTAAAATATTTTTTTCTGTAGTGAACAATCCACGTTGTGAGTCCTGAATTAAATCTTGTTCCTATTTGTTTGTAGACAGTAGACGTATAGCAATGTATATACGTACCTGCTCTATTGTGTGTACTCTAGTATTTCTGTGTGCAGAATGTTCAGTCCTGCATCCTTATTTGTTCTTTTGTTGTTATCCCGTTTCCCATCCTTTTTATCCCCCTTCTCCTTGTCCATCCGTCCTCCTTTCTGTCCATCTCTCTGCATCTCTCGCTTCTCTCTTTTGACGACTCTCCTCCCTCACCACCATCAGGCCAAAGTCCGCGAGCTGGAGGAAAAATGTCGGTCTCAGACTGAGCAGTTCAACCTCCTCTCAAAAGAGCTGGAGAAGTTCCGTCTCCAGGCTGGAAAGTTTGATATCCTAAGCACTGATCCCTTAACCGTTCTTGAATCCCCCGGGTCGCCCAACAAATCCCTCTCACAGCTCCTTAATGGACTGGCTGCCCCCCTAGGAAAAGGTAGGTCTAGGATCGTTATGCTGAGGTGAAGCTGCGTTTTTTTTCCTCTCACATATCTCATATTCATATATCAAGATTTTTATTATTGATTCATTGTCATATTTTCAAGTGGCTGAACTTCGGTTTACGACCAAAGTTAATATGTTAAACTAAATTGATTTGGCACTGTGCAATTGTAAAACTGCATCATTTGTGCCATGTGAGAGCTGCCGGCAGTAACTCCACACTGTACATATTGAAGAGCAGTCCGCTCCCTCACAACCACAAGAACACATTGCAGCTTAAATTAGAACTCTGGAAGGCTTCTGACTTAATTTGCAGTAAACCCAAACTGCAAATGATATAATCAATCTTAGTGATAAATCGCTTTTCGCCGGCGAAACTTGTTCTCAATTGGTTTTTGATTTGCTTTTGTGAATATACAAATGTTTCACCGATTGCAGTAATATGTATCATTCAAAAGTTTTGAATTATTACTTTTTACAGATGTCTGAAAGCAGAGGTGTGAGATTTTAGGATAATGAATGGAACCTGCTCAAAAAACATTTTTACAGTGTTGAGCGTGTCAAAGCACAGCTTCTACTAGTGGGATTGATACTGTTTCATTGTTTGCACAAAGGTTTAATACCGTGTACATCACTATGTGGTTTGATGAGAACAGACACAATTGATGTTGAGTTACCTTTCAGTTTTCTGTTCCTCTGTCTTTTGAGTCACAGGTTTGATATTAGTTCTGTTGTGTTGTGATGTGAAAATCTGATGAGAGAATTTCTTTGTTCCACAGGCGATGAAGCTCCAACTAGCAGATCTTTGATATCTGAGTTCATTCGTCCACTCCAGATCAGTGGAGACAAGCCGGAGTTCCTTTCTGTTAAGCCAACATTCCTCACTCGCGGTCGAGTCAGCAGCCCAGCAAGGGCTTTCCTCCCTGAGGTATTTGATTGTGTCTTTTTGTTTCACATGTGTTTTTGCCTTATTGCATATTTCTCTGTTTACACCAAAAACACCTCAAGCTGCAGCCGGTAGAACGATTTGAACATTTAAGATGTTTTCCTCCAGATGGACAAAGAGCTCAGCTCGACTACAAGGTCCAAACCTAGATTCACAGGGAAGGTCCGTCTGTGCATTGCTCGGTACAGGTAGGTGCACAAACCCACCGAGAGACTCATTCACCTCAATTCTCCCCCAACAGTCACCACGTATATGCCTTCATTCTAATAGCAACACTACTAGTCAGGATGCAGGATGACACCCTAACTGTGCCCAACACATTATATACAGTCCTCTTAGTACATCAACTATATGCATATACTTGTAATGGTTTGCTCTGCATTTTCAGAGAAAGAGTTAACAGGAGCTTTGTGAAATAACATGAACTGTTTACTGTTCAAAAAAGGGTGACAACTTTTAACTGATTGTACAGCGTGAACAAGTCTTGGACACATCTTGCTGAGACTACTTGATTTCTCTTACAGAGCTTGAGGATGTGGTCTTAAAGATGATTCAGTGTTTCTATCTCTGAAGAAAATGACCTGATGACCCGAATGACAAAAAATAATTGAAATCCTCAGACTACAAATAAGTAAAACAGGGCCAAAGACAGTGAGGACCCATACTGTCCTCAGTCATCTTATGTTTATAAACAAACAAACTGTGTACATTGATAGAAATAGAAACAAATGTTCTTTCCTGCTCTGTATATATACATATATATATATTCTCATTCATATATATATGTACAAATATATATAACATGTCATACTGTATATAACACGTCTGCAGTTGAATTGTTTATGTTCTCGCCGTAGTTACAATCCTCATGACGGGCCTAATGAGAATCCTGAGGCCGAGCTCCCCCTGGTGGCAGGGAAGTACCTCTACGTTTACGGGACAATGGATGAGGACGGCTTTTATGAAGGTCTGACCTGCCGTGTTATCGCTCATCATCATCATCTATCCTAAATAGCGACACAATACCAATTTTCTGCTTTTTGTTTCTCAGGAGAGCTGCTGGATGGACAACGGGGACTCGTCCCATCCAACTTTGTGGAGTTTGTCCAAGATGAGGAGACACCCTCTGTCCAACACAGGGACGCAGTGGCTGAAGAACCTGGCTACCTCAACCACAGTAGCCTGGGGCCTCAGAGACTGAAACTCGGTACAGGAACAAGAACAGGCATAAGCAGCCTGCTGTCTGACAGTAAACTAGACTGTATAAGCACCAGCAGCTTGGGCATGGAGCTCCTGGGCTCCTCAAGCAACGGGACAGGAACCTTGGACGTCAGTACTGACGAGGTCGGTGAAGACATTGTGCCTTATCCCCGCCGCATCAACCTGATTAAACAACTGGCCAAGAGCGTGATCATCAGCTGGGATCCTCCCGTGGTCCCGCCGGGCTGGGGCTCCGTCAGCGGCTACAATGTCTCGGTGGATAAAGAGTTGCGCATGTGTGTCCCCTACGGGGGCAGGACAAAAACCCTCCTCGAAAAGCTCAATCTGCTCACAAACACCTACCGCATCTCGGTGCAGAGCATCACGGAGCGGGGCCCGTCGGACGAGCTGCGGTGCACTCTGCTCGTGGGGAAGGACGTGGTGGTGGCCCCTTACTACCTGCGGGTGGACGGCATCACGCAGGCCTCCGCCGAGCTCTCCTGGATGCCCAGCAACAGCAACTACAGTCACACCATATTCCTCAACGGTGCAGAGTACGATATGGTCAAGGCGGGGGGCTACAAGTACAAGTTCTTCAACCTGAAGCCCATGACAGTTTACAAGGTGAAGGTTATGGCACAGCCACATCAGGTGCCTTGGCAGCTTCCGATGGATCAAAGAGACAAGAGGGAAATCTCTGTGGAGTTCTGCACTCAGCCTGCAGGTCAGCTTACAAAACAGTACTCACATGACCAATGGTATTTGTGAAGGGGGCTTGTATGTTTCGTGGGGTGGTTTTATCGTCCCAGCTAGACCTACTTGGATATCTTTAATGTATGTATATGTAATATACATATACCTCCCAGCCATTTTAATGATTCCAAAGCCACTTTTTAGATTGCCCTCAGGGTTTGGGTGTGTACCGCTGCGATAAGTCACAAGTTTAACACTTTAAAACTGGAAACAGTGTTTCTCAAAGCCAGATTTGCGTAAATAGTGAGCGTAGATCTCCGAGACTTCTTCTCCCATGAGGCCCAGTGACGCTTCGTCGTTGCCAGCACTGACTCAGGTCTCACAGCCTGGCAGTCGAGCTGCAGGGATCTTTTTTAGTGAGAATGTTATTGTCTCCGCAGCCAGCGACATTTATAGCTTTGTTTTCGTGATCTGTATATCAAGAGACACTGTGTCGTTAGTCAGATGTGGGTGCAGATCCAATATGGTTCAGTCGTATTGGGGGTTTTTTGTATGACCTACTGCTCAGGCTGTAAGGGAACGGGTTAAGGAGGACACAGAGGTAGTCAGAGAGAAAGAGAGAGGAGGACAGAGAGACAAATGATGAAGTTTGAATTGACATTTTATGTTGGCAGCTGATGAGTGAACATGGTGCAAGTTCATTAAATAATCAATCTATTGAACGTGTGAATTATAAACGTCTGGAACAGTGTCAGTACTGCTGCTCAGCAACTGCTATCAAGAAGAAGTCTAGATATATACACTATATTCAGCCTTCACACTCAGCATGGATTCTCCAAACTACTTCATTTCGAAGCGATACAACATTTTTATTATTATTAGTCACACGGAGTAGCTTCCATTTCCCTGCCTGCAAATTAGCGCGTGCTGTTTGTGGCCAGTGTCCATAACTGCGACTCCACTAAAATATTCATTTATACACTCATTTCATCTCTCAGAGGAGGTCGTTGTTTATGACAGTTGGAAAATGACAAGAGGAAATGAATTCTCCAAACAACCACTGCTTCTGTTCCAAAAACTCAGCTTCTCGGACATACAAACGTTTGCATGTTGCAGCTCAGAGATACTGCTGACTGCATCTGCTCTCTCTCGCTCACTGTGTGACTGCAGGGGAGCAGCAGCACTGCACAGATGGGTACGTTGTTTAGTGTGCAAGCAGCGCTGACACACTCTGGAAATAGCAAACTGTGGGGGGGGGTTTATGCTCCATAGAAAATTGTTGGCGAGAATCTGGCAACAGGATTATGCTGGACGTTGCATGTTGGCAAACTTTGCCCTTTCTGCCAACGTGATGCGCATATGAATGAATCTGGTGGTGAACTACAATAAAATCATTCTACCATTAAGAATCTTTGAATATGAATAGATACTACATTCAGCTGTCACTGACTCAGTGTATTGCTGCACGTACCTTCTTGGTATTGAGGTTTAGGCTGTAAACAGTACTTTATATGTGAGACGTGTAATATAGTCACCCAGGAACACCACCACCATATATATTACTGTGGAGAGTCCATAGCACTGCAAGGATTTGATCAACAGAAATGGTTCTCCCACTGTTGAGCTGTGTTTTTTTTTCTCTCTTTATCCAGTGTGTGTGTTATGCTCCTCAGGGCCCCCTCTCCCTCCCCAGGAGGTGCAGGTCCAGTGTGGTCAGACGCCGGGGATCCTGCAGGTCAGATGGAAGCCGCCACCTCTGACGTCTTCAGGAACCTCCAACGGGGCCAGTGTGATTGGCTACGCCGTGTGCACAAAGGGCCAGAAGGTGAGGCTTTTGTCCTCTTCAATGAGTAGTGCTCTATCGCCATCTCCTGGAGAATCTATATGATGTTTGTATTCAGCTCATCTTTTCTGTTTGTATGTAAGTAAATCTTAAATAATTTGCATGCTGGATGAAGAGAAAAAACAAACATTTTCCAACAGGCCAGTTAGGGCTTTTTGAAACATGGTCATTTTACTGCACTTTAGCTCTAACATCTGCAACGTGTGGAATTTTGTAATAATCTGGGATTTTTCCTAACACACCTAACTGGTATGAGACCTGGGAAGGCATGTACCTTTACATTCAATTAGTTTGCATGAGTGCGTATGTTTCTGTGTTGACATGTTTTAACGGCTCTCTGGTTCCCATGTGAATGCAGATAGCAGAGGTCTTATACCCCACAGCAGACTATGTGACCGTGGAGTTAAACAGGATCCAGTGTCTGGAGGCCAGGGAGCTCATTGTACGGACGTTATCAACACAAGGAGAGTCCCAGGACTCGCCCGTGGCCATCATCCCCAACAATCTGCTGGGCTCCCCGCGCCTCTCCCAACGAACCGCCGCGCCTTCCCACCACACGGCCCACCCACCGTCCCATCAGACCCACCCCCCTTACCCGTCCACGTACCCACCCAATCACCCTCAGCCCCAGGTGCAGCCTCTGCCCCGAGCCCAGCCGCACACGCTGCCGCACGCACAGCCGCACACGCAGCCCGTGTGCCAACCGCCGCCTCGTCCCCAGCCTCACTTCCAGAGCCACCCGATGCCCAAGTCCAAACCCTTAGTAAGTGCCAGAGAGCCACAAACCAAAGAGCATGAGGTGGGACTTCGGACAGCACAGCTCTGGGAGCGGTCCCCTTCTCCGCTCCCTCCCATGCGCGGACCCAACCTGGAGCCGCCGCACTTCCAGCCGCGGCGATCGCCCTCTCCTCAGCGGATCCTGCCACAGCCTCAGGGAGCCCCCATCCCCAACACCGTCGCCAAGGCCATGGCCAGGGAAGCTGCCCAGAGAGTGTTCGCCGAGGGAAACCGGGTGAGCCTGCTCTAGCCGTTTACACAACAGCTGGTCGTGGTAAATTACAGCATATCTCGTAAAAAACTAAAAGAACAGCTCACCTGACGTTAGTCATGGAAGCAATGTTATGCTGATTATGGGAACTGATTTGGATAACCTTTCATTTCAAGTAACATTTATCTTGTCAGGTTGAGAAAAGGAATATCTTTAGTGAGCGAGGCAACTCCTTGCATCCAGTCAACTCTGACGAGGAGGAGGACGGCTACGACTCTCCTCATGCGAGGAGGAGAGGAGCGTCGGTGGATGAATTCCTCAGAGGTTCGGAGTTGGGCAGACAGGTAGGGAAAACAAAGCGAGCTGTGCTCAGACAAGCAGTGAATCTGTACAGCTTCTCTCTGGTAAGAACATGGATTCCCTGCTCACAACGTGCAGGAAAAATCATATTGAATCAAATCACGTGCCATCATATGAAATTACCTCCATATGCATCCAAAACTGGATGCATAAATTGATCCTGTCCAGGCCACAGGAGAAGGCGTATAGTCTTTCATAAATTAATTGTAAAAGTTGAAGTAAATTATAGAGTTTGTAGCGTCCTCTGCACTCGTATGGAGGTGTCTTGAGATTACATCTCTGGTGCCGACATCTCTCTAATACTGACTGTTGCCAAGGAATCCAGCACGAAATATATTGCCAAAATAAAACCTTAAGAAAATAAAACTTAATGCCCCCAAATACGATCCACTTCACCCCTTCAGCTCTCTCTCTCTCTCTCTCTCCGGTTTCCCCTCAGCACCACCATCACCCCTACAGCCACAGTGAGGAGTACCACACAGAGAGCAGCCGGGGTTCGGACCTGTCCGACATAATGGAGGAGGATGAGGAAGATCTTTACTCCGAGATGCAACTGGAGGAGGGTCGCAGGCGCAGCATCAACTCTCACAACACTCTCAAGGTACGCGCTGCACACTTTCGGTCTGAAGCGGCCAGGTGGAGGCCAGAGGCCCCGGGGAGCACCGGGAGGTTGAGGGTGGGAGTCTCATTTAAGTGAGTACTTAAATGGAAATATTCAAGCTTGTTTCTGTTCGCCATGTCCAAACGTTTCATTTTTCCATGGTTAATGTAATGTTAACATTGTCGGTACCGTCTTAATTTGGTGAGCGTGGATGTGAAGGCATCCAGCTATCGTCTTATGAGAGTGACGGGTACTCTGGTGGCTGATTTGTCCTGTTATTTAAGTATCAGAAGTCAATGCAGAATCTTTGCCCGATTGGGAAAGTTGTCCGTGTCCAAACGAAAAGAGTGATGCGTTGCTCATGTTGAGTAGTCATTTGTATGTTAACCCTTTTAAATACACCAATGCCGCATCTCCTTTTCGTCATCACCGTCTATTTGTAAATCATTATGTTGATGTTGACATAATATTATTTTATGATATGACCGTACTCATTTTAATTTAAATCAGGTATTGTTAAGTGAATGATAAGAATTGTCAGATTTGCTTCTGCTGTTTTTTCTGTAAGCACAGCAAAGATTTTGTATGTTTAACTACATTTGAAATTGTTTGTATGCCAGGGGTTCCCAAACTTCAATTTTAACATTTAGTTAATTTTACTTAATCATAAATGCAATTAATATGTCAAGAAAGAACTACTTGAAAGCAAACTAATCCAATCCCTGTTTTGTGGAAGAGTGATAACAAACATTTAGTTTATATATTACTATTAATATGCAAACAACTTAAAACAAAGAAGGTACAACCGATTTGGGGTAGGTGGGAACAGGAGGGGGAACGGGGGGGCTAACAACATTCAGACAAAGTTTGGGAACCACTGCAGTAGGCTGATTATTCCATTCATTCAGCTTCATTTTGCTCTATTTTAAGATGTTTTCATTCATTTCATACACATTTATGTTTAATTTAACGCTCTCCCTTGGCACATTATTTTTTGTTTGTATATTTTCAATTTCTAAATAGCGAAATTCCCGTTTGCTTTGTGCCCAGTTTGTTAGTTATCACTCCACACGTGAGCCTTCACAGATTCCTGAGCATGCCATTTTCTCCTCACGCAATGAGACTGCACGTCTTACTACATTGCCACAAATAACTAATTCTGTCTTTATTTTGTCTTTTCCCCCCCATTTGTTCTATTCACATACTGTGTTGTTTCCTGCCTGTTCTAAAACCTCCGCGAAAAAAACACTTTTCGACCCCCCACCCCAAAAAAATGCCCCTTTTTTTAAACTGACCCTTTTGAACCGAACTGACTGAAATGATAAATTGTGGAACTTTGCCTCGTGGTCACGACCGAAGGCTTATTACAAGCGCCAGGACTTAGCCGAGGAAAGGGACAGCTGGGATCTCCAGCGGGAGGTGGTGAAGCAGAAGTCTCTCCGCAGCAAGCGCCTCCACAGCATCCCCGAGGTGGCCGAGGAAGAGCCGGACTGCGTGGACGGCGTGGGCCAGCGCCTGCGCTCCGAGGGGGGCGGGCGGCCCGGAACGCCGCGCGCTCAGCGCAGGGTGTGCTCGCAACGCGGCAGAGGCGACGACTACCACGACGGCGATCGCCCCGCCCCGGGCAAGAACTCCCGCCTCCTGCAGCGCCAGCGCTCCTCCCCCCGGTTCACCGACGGGCGCCACGCCCACAACGCGGACGACCGCGGCCCGGTGCGACCCAACCGCCAGAACACCAAGAGCCCCGACAGCGGCCTAGACTGCGGCAGCGAGGAGGAAGGCTCCCTGGGCCGCGGGTACCGAGGGTACTACGCCCACGGGAGCCCCACCCGGGGGTCCGTTCACATCATCCACTGCGAAGGTCCGGTAGAGAGGCGGGCGCTGGCACTGGGCCGCAAAAGGACTCTGACCCGCCAGGGCAGCGTGGAGGTGGAGTTCGCGGACGTCCCAGTGACCGCGGCCAAGTCGGTTCACTCGGGCGACTTTAGGAGCAGGGAGCACTTTGGGCCCGGACGGGAGGCCGGGCCGAGAAACTACTCCAGGGAGGGGGCTCTGAGCGAGGGCAGGCTGGACGAGCTGGACAGGGTCTATTACAGCCCCCACAGGGAGGCTAGGGTCCAGTCTTTGTCCAGGCTCAACCGGGACCAGCCGCTGGTGTGTGATTCAGACTTTCTGCTGTACTATTCATCAGCAAGCTGCAGCCATTCTGTTTTTTCTAAATGTTGTCTGTTTTTCTTTACGATTACCCCCCTTTTTTCTTTCTTTTATTTGGCATTTGTTTTTTTCATTTTTTTACGGCGAGTTCGTGGTTGGTCTGATTCAATGTTTCATTTAGCGTGTGTTGCGTTGCTTGTATGTCAGGTGGTATTAAAGTCAATATTTCAATTATCTAAAGGCCATTTAACAAAAAGGTTTGACTTCTCATGTCTTTGAGGGGAACGGTTCCACTTGGGGAAGTGCTGCTCCTCGCGTTTACTTCTCCTGCCTTTTCTCTCTCGACCTGCAGGCCTCATCTGTAGCTTTCCATGGTTCACGCTCGAGCTGCAGCCATGTCGCTCCGCCGCGTGCTTGTAGCTTTATTACAGCATCTCCTGCCCCTCATTGCTTCACGTACAAATTAAAGCTAGATCACCACTTCTGCATTCAGCATTCAACCCATGCACGTCGTCTCTAGCTTTGATGCTTCCACTTGTTTCAGCAAAAGCTTGTCTTGTTCATCATCATTTTTCAGATGATTAAATGTTTTGATTGCTGTATTACAAAGCCCCAGGTTCATTTTTGATCAACCCCAAACTCTACCTTTTCTCTCATCTTTCTCTCTATGCGTTCATCACTTCTTTTTTTTTCAGCCATTTGCTTCATTTTATCATCGAGGAGCTGACATGCACAGAACAAAACAAACCAAACAAATGGTCTTTAGGTCAACATCCGACCCCCAGTCTATGTTGTTGTGTTGGGGGTTGATTTGATTTAATTGTTTTAATGGTTTCCTTATTGTTTTTTGAATATTATTTTTCCTCCCTAAGGACAAATGAAAGTCAAAAGCATTTGCTCTTATGGTTTTTTTGATTGTTTTAACAGGATGATGGGATTCTTCTTAATGTTGACGATTTGTTGTTCTAACCTTGTTTTTTTTTTTTTTTTACTCTAAAGATCATTGGGAACTCGCCACCCTATGGAAATGCTGATCGTCTGGACCACTCGGGGAGGAGGCCGGTTCACATCGGCAACCCTCCTCAGCAACGGCCCATCCCATCCATTGGTTAGTGAGGTCCCCCACACCAGGAGACGCGTCATCCCCACCTGCAGGGCCACTGTTTGTGCTATTTACACCATGTGTTTCCCTCACCCATGTGAGCCGAGCAGTACATCTCTCCCATAGAGCTTAAACAAACCACGTAGCTGTCCATCCTCACAAGCTGGATTCGCCAAATGTTCATATGCAGTTTTGCAGGAAAGTCATGATACATTCCCCATGCCTGTGTTTACTGTGGGTTAACATGTTTACATGACCACCCGATTTGACCTTCCCCGCAACAGTGCAAGCATTGCTGTTTTACACCCGGTGACTCCAGAGTGAAACCTGTTGCCTTGTACACCCCCCCTCCCCCACCTCAGGGCGACTTCATCATCCTACTGTCTTAGCATGAGTGAATGGGCCATGGGGTTGAGCAGACTGTGTGTGTGTGTGTGTGTGTGTGTGTGTGTGTGTGTGCGCCGGGGATCTCTGACCGTAACGCTGTGATTGGTGTCTTCTGTAGAGATCACCATGGACAGTAACAGTGAGGGGAGTGAGGGGAACCTCTCACCCGTCAAGGAGGATGTTTACTATGGCAGTGTAGCTCGGCGCAGGATATGGCGATCTATGTCCTCAGAGGATCAATCTGGTATGTGGTGCAGCTGACTTTGATAATTCATCTTGACAATGCCGGAAAAGGCCAAGAGTCTTTGTTGCAGTAATGTGGTGGTATTTTGCTGTGTGCTGGACAGTTGGCTGCTTTGTTTAGTTTGTCTCAGCTGTATAAATCTGGCCGGGGAAGACAAGACTGGCCACTTTTCCTGTTTTTTCAGAGAATGAAATTCCCTTCCCTTCCCTGTATGTAACCCTCCAGCTCCAATCCCAAGAAACCCCAAACCACTCCTACTCTTTCCATTCACCCTCCATATCCAAACTAACTGAGCCTGCCTTCCTCTTCCTTAGCTTTCCCTTCTCCTCCCACCTTGAGCCGGTAGACCCGTGCTTTCATTTTGCATGACCCGCTTTGAACACCGGGAGAAGGAAAGACATCATCCACTCTGCTGCCCTGGAAGTCAAACCGGTTTTCGCACCATTGAAGCACTTGTTTTTACATCTTTCAAAAAAACCCTGTTTTCAGTTGCTTGGTTGGTGTTGGTTGCAATCTCCCCGAGGCTTCATTCAGACCTACAATCTGCCATAGAAACATTTAACGTGGTGATCCATGAGAAACATGTGGAACTGATATCAGATTCATCACCCCCCCCCCCCTCCCCTCACTGATATCTTCACTGCCAGGAACTGCTGGGGCATTTGATGTGTTATTTTCCCGAAGGGGTCGCGCCTCCTTTGCCCTTTTTTCGCTGCACATTGTTCCCAGATGGGGCCTCCAGAGCATGACCGCCCACCTGCATTACGTCCAGTCGTAGGAAAGCGTGCATGTTAATCAGCCTCTGCGAGATAAGGCAGTGAAACAGCAATGAAAAACAGTGCAGCGTTACTTGGGTCCTTCAGGTGTGCACAGTCATTCAGTTTCCCTTTGCACCCCCCAAAAAAAAAGCTGCTTGAGATGTGTTCCCTGTCTGTGCTGTGTTGTACTTTGCTGTCACCGTGCCAGGATGGTTAAAGACAGTCACGCCAGCAAGCAGACGTGTGTGAACGAAGAACCCTCGTGTTGCAACCATTGCGCCGAGCTTTTTCGGTAAAGGCGTCCTTTGCTTTTGGTGCATGAACACAACTAAAGTAGCATTTATCAGCATAATTGTCGCATTCGATCTTTGGCTCTTTGTTCACACACGCATCCCATCGCCCTCCTCCCCCTACCCCCCCCCCCCGCCCCCCGTCAGCTCTAACAAAGAGACATCTTCTGCTCTCGTTGCCTCTACAGCCAGCGTGGCTGTATAAGGCTGGTAGTAGCAGCAGAGGCCTCCTCTATGTTTCAGACGGCTTTGGCGGTCGCAGACACGGGCGGGGGCGGCGCTCCCTGGAGTACTACGAAGAATCGGAGCCGGAGGAGATGACCCGTGTGTTCGTGGCTCTGTTCGACTATGATCCCATGTCCATGTCTCCAAACCCCGATGCTGCTGACGAGGAGCTGCCATTCAAGGAGGGCCAGATCATCAAGGTGCTGGCTGGCAGATGATTATGTTTCATGCTCAGCTAAAAGAAAAGAAAATGCTTTTTGTTTAAACACCTACGAATCAAATTCATCAATATGGGGCAACGCCAGTAGCAGGTTTTATGTTGTCAGTCTGTTTCTGACAACACTTTGTTTGTTTTTCTAGGTCTTTGGGCATAAAGACACGGATGGCTTCTACAGGGCGGAGGTCCGAGACCGAGTGGGTCTGATCCCGTGTAACATGGTGTCTGAGATCCAAACGGAGGACGACGAAATGATGGGCCAGCTCCTCAAACAGGGCTTCCTGCCACTCAACACTCCTGTGGAGAAGTTAGGTGAGCCATGATTTTCCATCGCGACTATTACTTGATGCTTATACCCTCTGTTTCTATATCACTTACTTAATGCTCTGCTGGACTTTCTTATACTTATGCGTTTTCCTCTTCTGCCATCCGGCTGTCTTCTGCTTTCCTGTAAAGTGAACTGTGATCGTTTCAAAGATGGACGCTCAATAAATCGCAGGTCCAGAAAATCCAAGAGAGGTCTGTGAATGAGATACTTTCCTGCTTCATCGTTCTGCTTTTTTCACCTTCCACCGTCCTTATTCATCTGTCATCTGCCTTAAGCTCATTTCCACATCACCTGCTGCCACTAAGCTTTCCTAACTATGAATACTATACTTTAAGTCTGATGATCAGATTGGAAAGTTTGTTGGATTTTGCAGGCTATTGTGTATCTTCACAGGTCATCACACCGATCCAAAAAGGCTTTTTCAAAAATCATTACCAATGATTCATCTTTTTTTCTGACTGTTACAATTGTTTCCCTCCGTAGAGAGGAACAGGCGAAGCGGGCGGCAACACCCGATGTCGACGCGGAGAATGGTGGCTCTGTACGACTACGACCCCCGAGAGAGCTCCCCTAACGTTGATATAGAGGTACTGACTCCTGTGGCTACTCACTTTGTCACGTCCATTCTATCAACATCACGTTAAAGATGCATACAACTGTGTTAAAACTCCAGATTCGAAATGTATTTAAATTTGTGATATTTAATGTTTTGTTTTATCAATGCAGAATTTAATTGAATAGTTTTTTTGGAAATGGGCTTTTTCACTACGTCGCTTAGAATATTGATATCAGTCTTGTGTCTTTCCGTTTAACACAGAGCTTCAGAGCTCAGTTAGCTTAGCTTAGCTTAGCACAAACACTGGAGCAGGGGCACTCAGAGAGTCTGGCTCTCTAAAAAGTTGAAATATATATATTTCAACCATCTCTAAAGCAGACTAAATTACACGTTTTAAGTTTGCTGACGAAAGTCAAAGTGTAAAAACGTTAGATTTAAGATGCTTTAGGACAGACCGCTTTAAAACATCGTCAGTCTTTATGTCAAGCTAAGCTAACCATCTCCTAGCTGCAGCTTCAAGCCGATGCTATCGACGGTTGTTAAAAACTTAAGGAATTAGGCCCTTTTCACAAGTGTTACTTTGTCATGTCACAGCAGGGTAAACACGGACATTGCTAATACCGATAATCATGATGTTTCATTTAGTTTGTGCCTGCCGGCTCACCGCAACACGGAATTGGACCATAATTAATGGGATCCGTTAGACCTGTGTTTAACCTGCCATGACGTGGATAAATGGCGGCTGCGAAAAGGGCCTTTCGTTACAAAGGGGAGGCTGAATGAAGAGTTAAAGTTAGCACTGTGTAAGCGAGGATTGAACTTCTCTCCCGTGCTGTTCTTCCCCTCCCCCCCCCCCCGCGGCCCCCAACTTCCCCGTTCACTTGTTCTCACCCTTCTGCCACCCACACAGTATGAGGGCGACAGACTTGATGAGGAGGTGAGTGAGGGTGAGGGAGGGACCGGAAAGTCTGCTCTGTGTGTGTTTCCTCCCCCACCCCCCCCCCGTTGGGTGGAGTGCCAACGAGGAGGGGGGGCTTCTTGTCCCAGGCCGTCATGAACGCAGCCCCCTATGCATTGGCTGAGCCGGGATCTCCTCTCCTCGGGTTGGTCCTCTGTGTTCACCAGTCTTCTTACTTAGCGGAAATGTGTGGGTCGTGTGTCCCCGTCGGACTCATCTGAACAGAGTGTTGGCCAGCTGTCTTCAAAGAACCCACATTTGATGCATTTTACAGTTGCCACAGTCCGCCTCGACGAGACTGAATTGACACTTGTGTTTGAGATGCATCCCATTGATTTGGAGAAGGAAGCCCCCTCATTTCAAACTCATCAAATCCCGGCACATTTGATGTTTCTGAAAGCTCTCTGCACACTTGTAGCGTATTTCAAGGATCTTTCTTCTTTGACAGGCTGAACTGACTTTCTGTGCCGGTGATGTCATCACCGTTTTTGGTGAAATAGATGAAGATGGTTTTTATTATGTAAGTGTTTAACTTACTTCTATTTCCTTGTCTGTTGAGCATCCACCCCCCCCCCCCCCCCCTCCCCCACCCCCCGAGTATTTAATGTAAAATCCCCCCAAAAGAGTGATGGAAGAGCCACAATGTTTTATATATTTGTCCCAATAAAAGAGGTGGAGAGGGGGAGAGTTTTTTTTAAGGGTTTTCGGGGCCCGAGGGGGCATGAAATTGCCCTGTTAAAATAATAATCCGGAGACTTTTGGCATTACAGTTGTGTTTGCGTTTGCGATGACAAAGATGGAGATATTCGTCAAACCGCCGATTTACCGCCCCTAGACTTGTCGCTTGCTTTCTGCTGCCGGCTTTGCGTCCACAATCCCCTCCGATCTCTCAACTCTGTGGCAGCTTTTCATTTTAAACCTCGACGCGGCTCGAGGAGGTACGGGGGGGAGAAGCCGCCTAACATTTGAGAGTTAAATGCAGCAGGGGTCTCACTGTCTTGTTTACTCCGCAGGGCGAGCTCAATGGACACAAGGGACTTGTTCCTTCCAACTTTCTAGAAGAAGTGCCTGATGATGTAGAGGTTTTTCTCACTGACTCACCATCTCGATACCCCCAGGACACTCCTGCACGGATAAAGACCAAAAGGGTACATGCTCCTTCGCAGTACTAGCCCTCTCTCACCCATGTAGTCTTTTCAGTTCCTTCTATCTCCTTTAGTACCTTGTCTGTGTGTGTCTGTGTGTGCGTGCGTGTGTGTGTGTCTCATTAGAGTACGATGGGATTTCTGACTTTGGAGCATTACACTGTAAATAAATAGATGTCTGAGATATATGAAAAAAATAAAAATAAAAATAAAAGACTAATACTTGACAGAGGTACTTTTATTTTTCATGTGTACTGCTGTAAAAAAGGGAGGGGAAGTTCTGCCTTGTATACTACATGGATCCATAGTATTCATAAAGCATTCTCAATTATAGTTCCCCTGGGAATTTTTACTTATTCTGTAATGTCTTGAAAAACAGCAGTTAACACTTTTTGCACATGCATATTTAGCATTCTGACAGATGCTTTATGAATATATTCTGTGTTTGATCTCAAATCATTTCAAATAGAGTAAATAGTTTTGTCGTACTCAAAGATGAACTATGTAGTCTGTAGCTCAGCATGTTCTATAGTCCAGATGCATGAATTCTTGAACGTTTTCTATAAAAAGTTTGGTGTAGTACACCTTTTGTATCTGCTCCTGAACGCCTTGTTTTGTATATTGCTTTCTTGTAAAGTAGCACGCAAAGGTCACTGAGCCCCTGTTGCCATCAGACAATAATTTCAGAAGTAATTTATTAAATGTAAATACATGCTATTTTGTGTTTATCAAATAATGCAATTGTCAAAATAGAAATAGGTTGTCATCTGATGTGTATTCCCTTGTGTTCTAATTTGCCATTGTCACAGTGTAAACTATTGAAATGCCATCACCATATATATTTTTTTTATTTCTTTTCCTCACCCGCTTGGCAAAACAGAAGAAGAGTGTTCATTTCACACCTTAGAGGCTCTGTTTCCGTCACGTAAGTGAGCAACTGAGGATACCAAGATTACGCCCCCCCTCGTCTAATGCAGATGACATGGGTACCCTTAGCTTCCGGTATGCAACATGTATACTTATATGACATTCCTTTAGTGCTGCTATGCCGTTATTCCTCTTTGTTTCACCAATGATGTTATTAGTTTGTAAACCCGGCCAATGCATTAGACAAGAAGTATGGTATCTTCAGTTGTTTCTCTGAGTGTTGTACATGACAATGTCCGTCTCCCGCAATAAGTCTCCTGCTGTAACTCATGGTAAGCTAAAAGGCCGTTGTTGTACAAGAACCCTGAGTTGAGTTAAAATGAATGCTAATAACATTTAGACTGTCAGTGGGACAGAAAACCGAACCAATTCTATGCAAAAACCCAAAGAAAAGCGTGAAGAATATTCCATTTAATTTTCTATCAGAGCGTTTTCAAATCGGTATTCATTTTTTGAACCAGGATAAACAATGAATTACATTGCCAACTAATAGTTATTCATTTAAAGTGAGACTATGAAACAGTGGCTATAAATGACAGAATCTCCACAAAATATGTTTTATTGTGACCGTGTGATGAAGTCAAGTAACGTCTTCTTCACGGCGTTATTTAGCCAAAGTTTCCATCATGAGCAAGTAATGCGGGAGCATTTTCATAAATGTTACACAGTCTCACTTTAAACTATAATAAAATACTAAATGAAGCAGAATGATTTTGTTATGTTACATCTTCTGGTTTTTAAAACTGATGCATGTTTGTATAAAAATAGCCTCGTATGGAATCTTTGACCTCCTGTCTTCCCAAAAGTGCAATTTAAAAGAGCCTTTTAGCTCATGATTACAGAAAAGGACTAGTGAATAGTTTTTTGTAACCCAGTTGTATCAGTAAATATCTATATCTGTATATGGATATACAGATATAGATACATACATATATTTAAGGGGAAGTAAATGTGGTATAATTATGTCCCACTTGTCCCAAACTGCAAATGTATCTTGTTTCTGTGAAAGGAACCACCCTGACCCTTGATATTCGTTGTTGGGGAAACGTTGTCACCTTACATCCATGAGGAAGTTAGTCAATGTCATGCTTAAATCTCTGTTGTTGTAGCTTAACCGTAGCAGCTTGATTGAAGAAGAAAAAAAAAATGTTTCTACTAGAGAGGGTGGGGGGGCAGTGTGTTAATCTGTATACCAGAGACCTCAGAGCTATGGCGTCCCCGCTGAGACAGAAAGGACTTAAAGAGGAGGAAGGAGGAAGTGACTGAGGTGTGAGAGACCGCTGGCTTTTTAACACCTTCAACTGTCCCCTACGGGTCTCCCATTAGGTTCCATCGGAAAAATCGGGGCCGCCCAGAAGAGCAGCCTCTCCCACGCTGCGTCCACACACCCCTGGCTCCGGCCCCGCCACCGTGGGGCCCGGCAGTCCCTTCAGGGCCCCACGGGACGCGTACTCCTCCAAAACGGAAAAGGGACTACTCTCCAAAGGGAAGACGCTCTTGCAAAGACTCGGCGCTGTAAAATAATTTGTTTTGACATACTTGGGGTGTCATTCAATTCCTTTTAGTGGTTTAAAAAAAAAAAAAAAAAAACTATCACGGTGCATAGGTGGCATTTTTTAGTTTAACAAATGCTTTATTCTTGTACATCTGATGTATGCTAGAATAATTGTATTTTTGTTAAAAGTATCAACTCCATATTTTTAATAACATTCCATATTACGATGTGATGCTTGTCGATTATCTTCCCTCCGAGTCTCTGACTGATGTTTTGCTGTGAACGGCGACAGGAAACTCCTCATTTGGCCCTCGGTGAAGCGCAGTGGCTCCCCCCGGTTTACACATTGTGGGTCTGACCAGAGTCTCTGGATTCAGAAACCAGGACGCCGTTCAGACGGCGAGCGATCAAATGAACCTCCATTTCAAATCTGAAGATAAAGACGGGACTGGTGGGGCCCCGAGGTTGTTTTCACACAGCCAGTCACTTGCATTGTACGAGAGGTCTGCACGCTCCACCTCAGCACGTTCCCACGAGGCCGAGAGTCTACGCAACGGGACAGGCAGTGCTCCCATACAACGTGGCTGACTGGCTATGGCCAACATCTCAACACCCCAACAAACACGTCAGTTAATACAAGCACATACTGTATCTACTACAGGGTCTCTGCATAAAAATCAGGTTGAATGGAAAGGCCAAGTAGACCCAACCTCCATGTATTTGCCTTATAATCGCACAATGGTTTGTACCCAGTAGTGCATGCAGTCCCGTGCCTACGACTCATTTACGTTGGTCGGTACTTGATAAAAATCTGTTAGCGGGTGTAAATCCTGACTTGGAACGTGCAGGGTGTCACGTGACTGTCGTGATTTCTGTAGAACCAGAACTCACGCACAAAAGTCCGAGACTCATCTGCCCACACGTCCTTCACCTGAGCTACTTTATAGTCTTAATTCTCTAATCTTAGGACAATGGTGATGAAAAAGGGCAATATTTTCCACATCTAGTAGTTTAGTTATTATTCCACCCTGATTCAGATTTAGAACCACGGCTCAACAAAGAAAACCACACACTAAGTAACAAACAGTTAAGTGTTAGATAGCATTAGAAAATGAAGTCTTATTGTAGTACTGCATGTGATGCACAACACAAAGAGTGAAGGTTTGACCTTTTCCACGAGCTGACGGTGAGACACAAGGCTACCTCTACACAGCCCCTCGACCCTCTGGACCCTCAGCCTACTCTTTATTTGAGCCGATCTGTCATTGAAGTTTCTTCAGTGTGTCTTGAGTTTGGTCGGTGCAGAATACAAGTACTGTATAAGAGTAAATATATCCATCTACACTTTGTGTAGAGTAGTGAATGTATGATAAAGTTGAAAGCAGTCGTATTTCCATAGCTGCCCAGGATTGTTCATCTTCATGCATGTAATGAACCAGCCCACCTTTAGTTCCCCACAACTTTGGTTTGCTATTCCATCCTCATGTATTTGAAAATCTATTTTTTTATTAACGAGTTGAACTGAAACTGCCAAAAAAGAATGTATGCAAGACATTCTGTAATACTTTCTGGACAATTCTCGGCGCAACAGCCACGATAACCTACAGTCCACCTATGAAGAACGGCTCCTATTTACAGACCATGTCACCAGACATTGCTTCCATTTATTTTGAGTGACTGTTGCTCTTTTTGTACTTTGTCCATTTGTAAAATTGTTTAAAATGTTTATACTTGATTTTAAAACTGCCTTTTTTGTACATTCAACTTTATAATCAAACAGTGCAAGCTTTCCCCATGGTGTCTTGAATACCATTTGTTAAGTCTGCAATTGTGTGCTAGCTTTATGATAAGAATTATCAGCCTATATTGATGGATACAAATTATGTGAGTGTGCATGTGCAATCTTTTCTAAAAAAAAAAAAAGAAACCTGAATAAATTTGATATTTTTTAATAATTGCATTTGTGTTTTAAGGTTAAATGATATAACACACATACAGATGTTTATCAGAGCAATCTAACAGAAATAATACTCAGATGTTAAATCTATGGGAACTAAATGTGACACGTGAGCTTGCTTTTACTACCCTCGTGGAAAACACATAACAATTGTATAATAAACTATTAAAATAAACAACATAATTCCGCTGTAAAAAGGAATATCTGAACCTCAATATTTTTTTTGAGTCAAGAAAACTTAAGCTTGTACAACAACACGTATAAATATTTACCACTTTTAGACCAGTCAAGGTTCAATGCGGTTTCACCAGACGTCAGGGTATACTGGTCATTTTTCAGCATATGAGCTACAGGCTGGTTTCTGATTTGAGTCTTTAGTCAGAAATACACTTAAACCTCCCAAATTGCATAACTCCAAGGCTATTAAAAAAAAAGAAGAAAAAAAACAACAACAACTCCACTTTGGCTAGTGTAACAAAACAGTTTAACATGGCAACTCAAGAGCAAGCACACCAGCTGAACAGCAGGAAAAAAAAAAAAAAGGTTTCATCCTTATAGGTAGAAGAGGAGTTCGTCCAGCTTCACATTGGGCTCTCTGTGGATGCTTTGACCCACAAGAAAAGCCAGCTTGTGGGCATACTGACAGGGAGCGGGCACTCTGACGATCCCCTAAAGCAGAGAAAAAGGAACCAAAGCTTTACAAAAAAAAAAAACTTTGAACATGCTTTATTGGGCTAAATGTTGTGACAAGTTATTCTTAAAACATCAGAAATTCAACAACAGTTTAAATGCAATTTAGGCCAACATCTGAGTGCAGCCTTCCAGGTCGAAGGAAGCACATTAACGGACCAATTTACAACACAGCCTACCTGCCAGTTGTAGTACATGTGGCACAGCTTGTAGGTGAGCCGCTGCATGTGATCAGGCTTCAGCCCACTGGTGTCGTACACAACATTGTAGTGGGTTGGCGAGACGCTTCCAGAGCGGACAGCCTGGCTCACTATGTAGAAGTCATACCTGGCAAAGAATAATAATTAAAAAAAAAAGGTTATGACAGTAAGCCACTAAAAAAAACACTGACAGCTAAAAATAAATAGCAAAGGACACATACCACTCTGGACGGGTGACCTCTGAGTCCACGACGGTGCCCGGGGGAGGGTTGGACACTTTCCCATCCATTTGGGCAAAAAACCTACTGTTGATGCGCTTCTTCACCACCACCACACTCAGCCTGGGCCTGTCACAATTAGATGGGAATGCATAAAAAAAAATATGACAGGCAATTTACAGACTAGTTTGAGCTCCCTTCGGTGTGTGGACTCCACACACTTAACCAATTTCAACCAAAGTTGAGGCATAACTTGCAATTCTTGCTGCTGTTCTCAATGTCAATAAATCAAAGGACATGGCGGTGACGTCTTCAGAAAATTTGTGTGGCTGCTATTTGAAACCTCACACGTAGTCGTGCCCCATGGACTTGATGGATTCGATGATCTGTGCAACCTCGTAGTTGACCACGCTGTGCAGCTGGCCGTCTCCCACTCCATCTCTGTACACTATGATGCGTGAAGGCAGGTAGTTGTTGAACTTGAGGTAGTCTTTCAGTGCAGCTGGAAAACAAGATATTGGACAGTTATGCTGATGTTGTCAATTGTGTGTGTATATTTAAGTTAATTAATTTAATCGGGGGAAAGTATCTTGCCACATAGAGCCATCTTCAGTCCATCCATTATTTCCTGGCCTCTGTGCTGAAAGACACACTTTGAGAACCACCTGGACAAAGACATCAGAAATGTCACACAACCGAATCCTTGTACTATGGCACTAGATCCAAGACTGTGAGGTAACCAACACAAGTGTAAAAGCGGCCAAAGCAGACGGGCTGTAGCCCAAGGTGCAGTACGGAAAGAAACTAACCTGGTCATGCCCTGATTGAGGCTGGCAACTAGAGCTCCAATAGACCTTTTCCCAGCAACGGTGTCATGGTAGCAGTCAATGCCCACAATCATCAGCTGTTTGAGCTGCACAAACGATGGGACGAGTTATCCGTACAGATTAGTAATGTCTAAGGTTGTATCCGGACATTGACTGGCCTCAAGAAAAATAATCACTATAAAAGGCAATACGTTTTATTTTCTAAACAACCACCAACAGTTTTATCCTCTCGAGAACTACTGGTTCTCGTTATCCCAAACACCCCTAACTTCTTCATCATATAAATGAATTAGCGTGCACATTACTTACAGGGATTTCCACACTCCAGAGTTCTCCTCCCATCTTGCAAGCCAGCTGAAGAGCAATCTTGGTTGCCACAGTCATGAGTGACGACGGTTTGCTGAGGGTGCGGCCAACCACACACTGGCTGGGAGTGGGGCAGTCCACACAGAGGTACTTCTTCACACTGTCATACTTGTCCTTACGGTTGCTGGGGAGGACCACCACCACCTGACACAGAAACAAATGGGAGGGTTTCATGCCTCTCGTTCTAACAGCAAACAAGAAACGTCAAAGCACAGAGTAGATAATATGTTAGTCAAACTAATGGAATTGATGCATGTTAATGGGTTATATATTTAGTCGCTAACCATCTGTGTTTGGGGTCCAACGTTCTGCTGCAGGGTTCGGAGGAGAGATTCTTGATGATCCTCGTACTCAATCCTAAAAGATAAAATAATATACTTAGTTACCATTCAGTTTTTTTGTTACCTAATAAATACTAACATTTAAGCTTTAAAAAAAAAAAAAAAAAAAAGTATTTCGCAGTATCAAGGTGAAAATGTAATACGCTCACTTTAGATTATTAGATATGCCAAGCAATAAATCCTTTCCTCATAAAAATTGTTATAATGTATGTTAAAAAAGTTATTATAAGTTAGTTATTATTGAATAATCTCTTTGAAACTATTTAAACCCCGTCGCCAGCGACCGGAATCCCGAGATGCTGCCATTTTACGGTTTATATTTACCACATAACAATAACAGGAACTGATCATGAACCAATATAATAACGCCATACGCCGATGGAACGCCCAAAAAACAAAACAACATTTTGAACATGCTCCAAACCCAACTGCAACAATTATAAAAAATTTCACGCGTTTCCCTACATGTTTTGTAAGGTCCTGTAAGTACTATTTTTTTCAAGGGAATCTTTTATTTGTTCCGTGTTTCCTTTTATCAAGACACCAATAATTTTTCCCGATAGACCTTTTGGTTGCATAAATATGCCAGTTTTAGTGTGTAACTGAAATTTAAAGCAGAGGTGTAAAAAACGCATAGTGCCAAAAAGGTTGACCAACTAATAAAACTGGCAAATGAGTGCATTTAAATGTATTCTACAGTCAAGATGACATACTTGCCTAGGAAAAAATGACTTAAAATTCCAGGATTACACTCTGCACAATAGGGGTGGGAATCTCTTGGGACCTCACGATTCGATTCTAAACCGATTATCGATTCTAAACTGATAAAACGATTATCGATGCATCTCGATTTTCTAAATTTTCTCAAATCTGAGTTTGCTACTCAGAGGTTGCTAATCACTTCCTAAATTATTTGATAATTAAAGAAAATCAACAGATGAATTACCTTCTCTAATTTTTTATCAGAGAAAACAAAAAATCTTTGTCACAAATATGATTTTCTATCAACAATGCAAGAACCAATGCAGCTTGCATTTCAACACAATATGAAAGTAGCCTATAAGAAAAAAAAAAAAAAAAAGCATTTTTCTTTTAAATTAAGAAAAAGCTGCGCTTAGTCTCAGGCCGGTCCGTATTTGTAAAATACCGGGAAAAAAGTCCAAATCTGTGAATATCTTGCCAACTTCCAATACGGATCGACTTTTTGGAAAATCGGAATAATGAGGTAAGATATGCGCAGGCTCCTTCATAGTTCGGTAAAGTTGGTAAGATATTCAGATTCAGACTGACGGACCGGTCTGCAAGCTGGACGCATTGCTCTTAATGTGCCGGTAATGATGGTAAATGATGGTTGTCATCTACGGTCCACTACGATTACCGAAAAGGGGGGCATTCGTTTTTTGACAACGTTTTATCTCATAATTTCGACTTCTTATCCCCTTACATTAGTGCGGAAATGGGCTTCTATAGTTGTGTGAATTCATCACTCCAGCCAATCCAAAGACGCGGTTTGTAACCAATCAGGTGTAGAGACCATGGTGACTGGCTCTGCCCCCTTACTGTCAAAAAGAAAAACAGCGAGCGCGTAGAAAATACCTTCAAGCGAGCAGAGACTAACCTCGCGAGCGAGGAAGTTCAATCTCCGCGAGCGAGCAAATATCTCTCGCGAGGATTTTTTTTTAAAAATTCCGATTATTAGCTTTTCTGAATCGAGACCGAATCTTTCTAGAGAGAAATCGAAAAATCGATTTCCCCCCCCACCCCTACTGCACAACATAAGTAATGAACAGAAAACTTATTTCTTTCATTGTTCTTATGCCGGAACTCACATGACGGGTCTCTGTATCCGGATGTTGAGTGGACCCGAGACCCTGTTGAGGGACTGCAGGAGGGCCTGGGCTTCAGTGCTGGTACGGCGGGTGGTTAAAAACAGCCAGTTCTCCAGCGGAGGAGCGCTGATCAGAGGCAAGCCACGCATCTCTCTGGACCATTCAGCCTCGCTGGGCCTGTAGTCGTACTGGTTGACAAAAATTGTAAACGTAAACTCTCACTCAAGATCATTCATGTATGTATGTATTATATATATAATATAACACACACACACACACACACACACAATTACTTGAATTCAAAAGAACAATTTCATGTAACCACAAGCAATATCATACTGATCTTGATCCCTGGAAAAGCCTTTCTGCTGGAAGAACTCTGCCAGTCAGACTTAGGAGCTGCTTATCAAAGCTCAGTCCCCATTTATCCAACTCTGCTCGTGCGTCAGGATTCCTATGAAATAATGTTTAGGAATTAAATCAAAGCCTTTAATTCAGGGGTATCAAACTTATGGCCTGTGGGCCCAGGATAATCACCTACTTATGAATATTGCGGACAAATCTGTTGAGGCGTCCTTCCCTCGCCATTGGATCCAATCTGGTGTGCGTGCTCAAGTCCTTCATGATCATGTAGTCAGCTCGCATCTTGTCAGTCAAGCCTGTCCAACACATTTTCACTTCAAGTTTTGATCAACATGACTGATGGGTTAAGAGTTTACCACAGATGGAATCCAAACAAGACAACTACCATCAGCAATAACCACAAATGGACTTCAAGGTTGTGCTTTGAAGAGTAAGCCTCTCCTGAATATACATTAGAGACCACCACCATGGGTGAGTTTAACACACTGGAGAGGCAGATTGTGACCTGTTAGGAAGCACAGCTCTGGGATCAGCATGGCAGGGCCAGGAGGCGGCGCTGTAGCGGGACCCAACCTCTTCACTTGGCTGACCAGCAGCACCTGGTTCACATCGACGATGTCCAGGTTATATTGCTAAGAACAGAAAAAATGAAAATGTGTGCAGAATAGAAAGGTCATGAATAAGGTTACTGCTCAACAGTTGTACAGCGTTACATGCAGTTCCTTCTTGGTGCCCAATCCCAATTCTGAGTCCATCATACTGAGAATGTGCCGATACGATAATTGAATTATTGTACCAGTTTAAAAACAAAACAGAAAAATGTGTTGAGTGCATGACGGCTACCATCTTATAGTAGTCCTTGAAAGAAATGTCCTTGTCTCCCCTCGTGAATGTGTTGTTGGGAGTGTGATCCCACGCAATTTCATCAATCCTGTAGGTCTTATTGTTGTACCTACACAAGTACACAAAACAAAAAGATCTCTCTGTAACCTCTGTGCTCATTTGTGAAAAATGAGTCCAAAAACATGCATTTGTGAGGGACATGGATCCTACTTGGTGAGGACTATGAGTCCAACAAGTTCCTTCGCACAGATCTCAGGGAAGCGTTGATTTCCACACTTTTGCCTCAGGTTGGCCATAAAGTCGAGGACTGTCTCACTACGCAGCACCTTGTGGCTGACGTCAGTGCACAGCATGATGGAGGTCTCGTACTTCAAAATGGTGGTGGTGTAGCCTGGCCAGATGGTCAAGCTAGGACAGACAGATTCACTTAGTTCACCCCAAATCAAACAAAAGTTGGTTCACATCATTGATAATTCCCCATTTACTAGAATCGCCTACAGCTTTTTACTCATCTTAAACCAGTCTATTGGGAACATAATTCTAACTTTTTAGACACCAGGATAACTTAAAATGTTAAGTCAAAGACTTAAGAAAACAATGTGAGGAGGCAAATGGAAGACCTGTGTTTTGGGATGTCGAGTGGATCATTGGGGTTGTAGTAGTTGCGTCCAATCTGCTGCATGTCGAGAATCCTCAAGATCCTGAAGAAAGTGACAGTATTCATGAAACATTTGGAAGTTTACAAAGAATTAAAACTGGTGAATGTTATTGACATCCAAGCTTTTTAAATCAGATGCACCATATCTTACATTATTTACATCAAGCAAATAAGTTTTGTATTGCATACAAATGCATTGACATGTTTTTGGTAAATTGGTGCTTAAGACCCCAAAACTAGGAAGATTTTACCTTCTGAACAGAATGTTGTAAAACTGAATGCACACTGGGGATGTGGGTGGCAGTTCATTCGTCATGGTGACAGTTATCTGAACTTTCTCTCCATTCCTTGTTTCACTGTGGAGCACTGTCTCCTAAACACATGGTTAGACGAGCACAAGAAAGAATCCCCAAGCTTAAATCAACCGATCACACCTATCGAAATGAAAACAGTCAAAATAAAGCACAAGTAACATTTTTTTTCAAAAGCTGAGCAAAATAACCTAATTTTAGATCAAGAATAAAAAACCTATAACCAGACAATCTTCTCATCAGTTTTCGCATTAAACTTAACTGCCTGCAACTTTAAGCTGTGGCCATATTTTTGCACAAATATGCACTTTGTAAATCTACAGAAAACAAAGGGAAAAAACAACCAATGGTTCAACATTATCTCTCACTCTGATCAGTTTTCTTTCATCTTTTATATGTGAGGATTAAATAACCTTTTGGGCCAATCGATTTGGTAAAAAAAGCAAAGCTCCATCAAAGCTGTCTGCTGGCCCAAGAACATCCTTGTGCTGGTAGAGGAGAGCGGATCTCAGACGACGAGCCTCCATTGGTGGATTGAAGTCCACGTGGTACTGATACAGCACCCACTCAGGGCGGGACATGATGCGAAAGAAGTTGGCTGTCAACGGAATTGGCGAACCGGATGTTCCTGAGAAAGCAAACACACTACTTTACAGAACAATATATAATCCCCTCCAAAAATTATATTTTTGCTGAATGAGTTTGTGAGCATTCATTTTAAATCACAGACCCAACTTTGAATCCTTGACATGCTCCATGGCACGCCTTGTGTTGATCCCGACATCGTTAAAATCACGTCGCCGTCCGCCTCGTTCGCCAAGCTTCACCTGCTGAAATCCGGCTGAAATCTGTAGAACAGCTGTTAAAAAAAACAGTTCATCACAACCAATTTGAGTATATTCGGCTACAAAAACATTTTTTTCTCCTCGTCTAAGAACACCAATCTCCCTGCATTACATCCAGGCTTTGAAGGCCATGATTTCTGGAGAGAGACCAAGAGACGAACATATCATGACAAACGGTACCTTCTGCAGAAAAAGGGCCGGGTGCACCTTTCTGCCTCCCTCTTCCAACAAGCTCTCCCTCTGCGGGTGGGGGAGCGGGTGGTTCAGGCTCTCCTTGAGCATAGCTCTTCGAAGAGAGAAAGAAAATAGGTTTCATAATGTGTACCACCATGGACACAATTGAACTAGAGCTGAGAAATATAAATACCACTAATATGCTGCGCACTTGCAAGTCGCTGCATTGTGCCAGATTCTCAATAAAGTTGGAAAAAAACATTTAGGCAAACCTATGGCCGTGAGGATACTCATTTACATGGAATTTAGAGGAGGATCCATGTCGCTACATAACAATTAAGATTGGCTTGTGCCGTTCTGAAAAAGGAACCTTCTACCGACCACTGGCTAGCCGGATGTTCCCCGACCATGCCCAACTCTCGCAACTCTCGTGAGATTATCGCTAACCACCAGTGCGTGACGTCAGAGCAAGTCGGAATCAAATCTAACAGTCATGTATTGATATTGATCCTGCTTGTGAAGGTGTCGGCCCTGTTGTCGCTCTGCGACCCTTTTTGGTATAATGACAAACTACCCTTTTATCCGTCATGACTTAAGAAATGGGGACACGAACCGGGTGCTAAATGTTACTGCGTATAACCACGACCAAGGAGATAGAGACGTTGAAAAAGTGACGGAATGATGACGTTAGAGATCACGTGAAACGGGTCTCACCATTCCGGGCGCCGCAGTCTCTTGACCGCGTGCTCGGCCTCTTGATCTGGCTCGCGCCCGTCCAGACATTTTGGTAAAGTTTCAAAACTGCAATGGTTAAAAAGAAAACCAACATTACTCACAAAATAGAAATATGTGACGTATGTACGAACTACGTAACGTTAACTAACCTTACATTCTACGCGGTAACCAACTATAGTTAGCTTAGCTTTAAGAAACCTAAAACATTAACATTAAAAAACTACACTTCAGTTGCTAACATAAATGGCTTAAGAACGTCTTTTGACCGTCTAAAAGACGTTCACTTTGAACCAATTTGCAACCTATTTTCAACGTCGGGCCAAGTCTTTTAAACGTCTTTTCAATGAATACATTGCTCGCTCATACGCAACTAGCAGTTCAACCAGCTAACGTTAGCTTAATTTAAGGCTAGCCGCCATCCACGTGCTAACATAGTTTTTGCCAGATTCAATTGTTTTAAATCCATTTTTTACTTTTTAAAAACGTTTTAGGAGTTCCACATTAATCTACAGTATTCCCATGTTAGATGAACTAATTGTGATGCAAATATTTATGATACGTTAGCCAACACTAACTTATTAGTTAACAGGCATGATGGCTATGACCTTATTAAGTTAGTTCTAAAACTCCATATTGTTGTATAAACTAATTCCTAACATCATATCACCACGTCACTTTTTTTCTAACTGACTTTAAAAAGGAATGTTCCTCTTCACTCACCATTCGACGAAAGAAAGTTTTACCACAGGTGCAACGATGACAAGCAATTTAGCCCAGGCCTCTTCACTTCATATATTAATACGCTGCTAAAGATTATTTTTTTTACTTTTATGACACACCTCCTTATTTTCAATATATTATTAATGATAATAATATAATCATTTGTTCATAATTGATCAAATAAATAAGTAATTCGAAAGGTTACTGAAATAAGTCATCAGAAATACCCAAGAACTACTTTTTGATGCGCAGTGTGTGCATTTTCTCCACCAGGCAGAGCTCCATGGCGACCACTAGGGGTCAGCACAGCCCCTCGTACCGTCACCGACACGTCTCTGGTTAAACTCAACCATCTAATACACAGAACTATTTGTAAGTGTTGTTTTAACCTAAACTTATTAGTCATAATGGACGTAAGACCTGCATGTATTTCACGTAAGAGTATAAATGAAATGAAAGTATGAACTCTATTTTCTTTTTAAGTATGGACCTTTGGCCTACGATTGAATAAAGCACAGAAATAGGTCATCATAGGGTTATGGGTTTTTCCAATAAGAAGACCTTGCGTATATAGTTGGCATTCCCATTCCCATCAAGTTTAACTTGTGACCATGATGAAAAATTCAGAGATGTAAGTGTTAAGGAGGGCTTTTTAATTTGATATGGATTCTTAACAGTCCCTTTAAGAGTCTCCTGAATAAATTATTTCTTCCAAAGGTTTTGCTCTCCGTAATCCCCCTTTAAAGCTCAACTTAAGTAATTTTTTTTAGCAAGGTGTACTTAATTCTTTCTTGTTTGAATGTACGCGTGATCACAAATACAGACCTGATTGAGCAGATCCTCCGACACTGGTCGAAGAAAACTGAGGGAAGACTAAGAGAAAAAAAAGCATCGACCTAAGTGTCGTGATGCCTGATTGTTGGGTGAAAATGGAAAGTAAGTAACACTGAAAGACAGATGAGAAACATAAATCCACAAGGATGTATAAGCATCTCACCAAATGCAATTCATCATTACACACAAACACTACTATTATTCATCACACCACTGAACAATAGGAAGCTAACACAAATTGAAATAGATAGAGTTTGCATGAAAGAAAAAAACAAAAATGTGGACATGGGAGGGGGGGCTCGCAAGCCGAGCAGTTTGAGTCTGACAAAGGTGCCTCCTGCCGAGGACGTTGATGAATTCGCTTCAGGCTTCATTCAAGTTTGCTCTGGTGCCTCCAGCGGTGTGGATTCCATGCGCACGCTAATCATGCTTCTGTGAGATGCTACAGCTCAAAGATGATGAAAAGGAGACATGCAACACAGTTTGCATAAACTGTCTGCACGTTAACCAAATACACACCCTTCATAACACGTTATTTATCACAACCAAGGACGTGACCATCACCATCACTGTCACAGACATGTTTCTGTGTTAATATATAGTATCTGTAGGCCCATGATATTCATAGCATTCAACCTCACTTTCTGTGTCAAACGTTGAAAACAACAGGATAAGGCTTTCGTTCTAGATAAATCACAGTGGTCCCATAAAGCTTGAGCTCCTGATTGCAAAACCGGAACAAGAGGGGATTCTGAATAATAAGGATCTACCAGTTCCCTGATATCAGTAAGCGGGTTAGGAAAATTAGATTATTCGCCTGCCTGCCGTGGAATCTAATCTGCTCTGCATCAATGTGCTCCCCCTTAAAATACACAGGCACTGCATCACACACTCAAAAACTCATGGTGAAAATGTGTTTAAGCCCATGCGGAATGAAACAAGCATCCACAATGTCAAAAAAAAAACATTCTATTTATAATGCAGAGGGGTAGATATCTTGAGCCGTTGGTTTTGTCAAAATGCCTGAGGTTGACTCACATTAGCAATCCTCCATCAGAAAAAGAAGATCACTTCCAAGCAGTTTCTGAAAGAAAAATGGCCTAATGGATGGTTTCCTTACATCACAAAGTTCATCTTGCAATGGATGGAAATCTTTTCCGATTTATAATTAATGAGCAAAACATTGTGGTCCACAATAAATACAAAAGAGACAATGCATTGTGTCTGATGTTACAATAAATGCGTTTTAACTGGAAAGTTTTGGACGTGACCATCTTTTACATTCACACAACCTACACACCATCTGCCTGTTGATCAGTGGGAAACGTGCATAATAACAAGTCACTGGACAAGTTGTTCTAGATGTTTGAATACTAAATCTTTTTAAAAATGACCATTAAGAATAAACTGGATGAAGCCATGACAGATGACAACCGAGTTATCTGAGACAACTTCATTCATCAAGATTCAGTTAATATATATTATATTTATATCTTTTCTCATCCCCATCTGTCCCTAACATTTGCAAATCAGACAGCTAAGAAAATAATACTTGAAGAAAGCACACACACTCTGGTTATTATATAACCACAACATTAACTCCGTCCACACATTATCATCATCATAGCTTTCAAAATAGAGATCCCCTTTTTTTCAAACACGATTGAAGTCCTTATCTACACTTCCTGCAAGCGAGAGCGCCAAGGACATATCCCATTCACATTGCATTTATTTGGGAAAAATAGTTTCCTGTATATTTGATTAGAAAAACCTTTGGCTGGCGGCCTTGACTTGTTTGCAGAATATTTGTGTATATACAGGAAATATGTGTAGAAAAAAGGTTTAGATTTTACAGTCCTGGATTTCATTCACCTGTTTGCTGAAAGAGGAAGCAATGGCAACATTTGACTGTTGCATGAAAGCCTTTTTAAAATGTTGGGTTTCTAGATATGCGTGGGGTGTTCAAACACTACCCGGCCCAACCTTTTCCTTGGAGAAGCAGGGGGTAAAGACAGCAGGAGCAGGAGGAGGAGGAGGAGGAGGAGGAGGAGGCCTGTGCTGACCGTTGCAGAGTCCTGCAGAGGCGAGGCCCCCCTCAGGAGCCGGCCGCGGTGAGGATGCCATGTGATCTCCGAAAAGTCAACAAGGGTTGGTCCACAGCTGGGCTGCAGGAGAACAGAGAACGGCCACGTAGCAACACCCTCCTGCTGGGAGCAGCAGAGGAGACGCGGGACTCCCAGCCTGCCCGCGATCTACCGTCAGGCTTCTGAGTGGACCGAGAGGATCCGCCCCAGTGCAGTTTATCACTCCAGAAGCAAGTCCTATTTTAATTTATACACGTTTGTATTCTAACCGTTGTGCTCATTTTAGGATTCTTAGCCAATCAATATCACACAGTCTCCGCCGAGCAAACTTACAATCCGTCTCCTCTGCGCAGCGCAATGGGAGCCCTGTGGATTTAATTTCCAAAAAAGATTAAGTTGCCTTCTGCATCACTGAAACTTTCTTGGGCTTTTTAAGTTGAAATCTCCGTGGTTATGCCTCTCTTTGTCCGAATCGTTGGTTTGAACAAAGGTGCAGTGAAGCATCAGCAGCTAGGAATCTAATAAGCACAATGTGGGAATAAAGCAGAGGGGAGTAAGCATCAAAGGCAGCCCGGCACAGCAGGACTGGCATCGGTCTGAACTCCCAACCTAGGACACTCAGCATGCTCTTCAGCAACCACCCCCTTTGGACCAGTCCTGGGCAGTAATTAAAACCATCATTCCCACTGCCTCGGTATCTCATTAGCCACAGGACCCTGGGCTTTCATCCTGGCTTGTCCAAAAATATCACAACTCCACACCAGCAAAGATGAGTCCTCCACACCCAAAGCACACGTCTGGGACATCTGAGTTGAATGGAGCATTATCAAACTATAGCATCCATCTCTGAGGAACAGTGGGAGATCACACAGGCCTCACTCTCCATGTCCACTGTAATTATTATTGCACCTCACAACAGAGGTGATTGGGAGGGAAACTGTCACCCTACCGTTGGTTGATTAAATCTGCCAGTGCATGAAACACATAATAAATACATAAATATGAAAGCGTTACCATGGGAGATACTGTGACACATTAGCTCTGCAGGGAACGAGGCGGAAGAAAAGAAAGCTTTGTAAAAGGAAAAAAAAATTCTGCAGCAAACATCAACCACAATTTGTGACTAACAACCCCCAAAAAAAGGGATATATTTGAAGCTCCTACGCTTCCGCTATCAAAGGGAGGATTTGAAGAAGGCGAGAACCGGTTGCAGTGGTCAGATTTAGTACTTTGGCTGTAGATAAAAAGGAAGTCTTCTTCCCATGTTTAATTCAGTATGAGCCATGACTAACTCGTGTAATGTACTAGGCCTCTGAAGTCGGTCGAAAGCTTCTTTGCTTGCTTTGTGTACTGCAGACGGAAATAAACGTGTCGCTGAATTCTGACGGGTACGCAGGTCAGGGAAATGCGTTGGAATAGGTTTATTTTATTCCCTGTTGGATCAGTTCTTTAGTTTAGCAGTAATACTAAAATCCTTAATCCACTGCACGGTATTAACCCACTTGGAATTACTGCAATGGCCAGTTCTGAAGTACAGTACCAGTCAGAAGTTTGGACCCATTTTCAATTCAATGAGAATGTGTGTCCAATCCTTTGACAGGTGACGTATGTTTAGTGCATCATGAACCAAAATAGCTTGTTCTTGCACAGTGGGATGATCTACAGTTTTAATAAAAACATTCCAACATGTTGCACAGATCGACCCCTGTGGTGCACGAGCACCTGTTCTTTGGCCCCGAATAAGAAAAGTGCCCCTTCTGCTGGAGCCCAATTGTTTCTTCATTCATCAATATATAAGTCATCCAATCCCACCAAATGTGTTTGGATATCTGACGGGGCATTTATTTCAGTTATTGTGAGAATTTCCCCCCAACATTCTCCGCAGCGCTCACAAGCTAAGCCAAAATTTAAAGGCAGTTTTACTGTTCTACAAATTAGACAAGTTCACAAGTAATTTAATTCAATTATTAAAATGAAAGGTCTTAAGTTGAGCTGATAGGGTATATTGTGGTATATTATGGTATATTATTAGTGTAATGATGATTATGCTTTAACTCTGTCCTACTGTGTTTTTTATTTATTTATTTTATTATCAGTATTTTTAATTTCATGAATCATTTTGGCGATGGGTGCCCTTTTGGTTTGGTTTGAGCACCTGCCCCTCAAAATGTCTGTGCATTCTCTAAAATAACGGCATTATCCTCCATCGAGGAGTGGCTCAATAGTTGGAGTGGCGAAACGCCCCACCCTAAATGTAAAGCACTGTTCCTAAAGAGGTCAGCTGCATCGCCCTCACCCACACACACACACACACACACACACACACACACACACACACACACACGCCAACCGCCCCTCCACCTGCCGCACAAGTGTGCATGTGTACGCCCAGTACGTATGCATTCAAAATCAAGTCTGCCCATTCTGTGGCAGTGAGAAGCCTCTGATCTTTCGATGACACAAAGTCTTGTGCAGGATGAGGATGGGCCCTCAACTTGTGTCAATATCCAGCCTCTTTAAACAACAGCGGCACATTGTTTGCGAGAGTGTTTGCTCAAAAAGGGCCCCCGATGCCACAAAACAACCTTTACAGGCTGGGTCCCCGTTTCCTCCTCAAGCGCCATTATGAGTCAGAGGAAATTAAAAGCCAACCACAAGCTGGTTCCCAGCTAACTGACTCTCCTGCTCCGTTTCTTTGAGAAGCCTTTGATG